TTCCATCCAAAAAAAGAAATCTGATTGGTCTGGCATGACTTATTTTTGAGAAACCCATGCTGGGTCTTAGTAATCACAATTTCCATTTCTAAATGCTCACAAACTGACTGTTGAATAATCTGTTCTAGGACCTTCCCTGGTATTGATGTCAAACTCACCAGTCAGTAGTTAACCCTTTCCCCCTTTTTGAAGATGGGGACAACATTTGCCTGCCTCCAGTCTGTAGGGACCTACCTGATCTCCAAGAATTCTCTTCTCAATTCTCACCTCATCTGTAAGCTCCTTATGCAGCCACATCGGTTTCCTTAGATGCTTCCCACTTTTATTTCTTGTTGGTATTGCCTGCTTTTGGGCTTTCAATATTTCTCCTTTTAGAAACTCCCATCCTTCTTAGACTCCCTTCTCTTTGATATTTCTGACAATGGGATCACACCCAGTAGCTCATTAAGCTTTTTGAAATCACTGTTGCTCTAAACTTGCCCTTTGGGGTGGAGGGTAGTAGAATGGGTATACTTCCTTGCTTTACACAAAATTAACAACACCTGTAGTTTGCCCCTTAAAAATAGACTTTGGTCAGGATGGTGAAAATGTCCTTGCTGTGCTGTAGTAAATTAACCTCTGTAAAAGGCAGTGGTGGCCACCAACCTGGATGGCTTTAAAAGAAGATTAGGGCAGTTTATAACAATTAAAATACAATATTGATATTAAAACACAATGCTATATTATATTAAAAACAGTTTCCAACAACTTAACATTTCAAAAATAAGATGGACCCTAAAATATATTTCAACCTTAGAAATCCTGATTGGAGAGAATGGGAGATTCCACACACACACACACACACACACACACGACCAATGCAAACAGCAGGAATTGGGACTGAAGTGGGGCAAAGTGTTAAAGCCAACTATCTACATCAGGACCCCAGTCCAGATCAGGACTCCTGCTCCTGCAACTCTGCAACATGCTTTGGAAAAGTGAGCTGCTAGGCTTGTTGCCTAACAACTCACTAGGCTAGTTGTTGTGGTTGTGAGATTTTGTGGGAATCTGCTTTCATCTGGCTGCATATCAAGGCCCCATGACCACCCTTTTTCCTAAAGTGTGAATAACACTTTAGACAACACATGGCATATTGGTGTTGGGGATCAAATGAGACTTTATTGGTTACAGATGTGAAGTTTGACCAAAGGCATTGTGGTAATCAATGGCTCATGTCACTCTTGCTCATCCACTGGGAGTGTTTCTAAAGGTGAAGCTGGTGAGTGGAGGGGGGGGGATCGCTCTATGACTCTATATACTGGATAACCCAATCTTATTCATCAGCTGGATGCATAGGTGAAGTGGAATGGGAGTGGATGAGCAGAAAAACATTCATCTGCACTGGCTGAAACAAAGAGGCATTCTTTCTGTTAGTTCAATAAGCAACCTTTGAGTGCAATCTTTCTCCTCCACCTTAAATCTGTTGCAAAGCTACTGCAAGCTGACTAAAGGTACTCACCGGGAAAAAAGAAAAAGAAAGAAAAAAAGGGGTGGAAAAAACTGGGGAGAATTGAACCACTTTGTTTCCATGGAGTTTATTTAACAGTGTGTGCTGATTACTCAAAGCGATATGGGCAGGACCTGGTGATCTAGCGATGCTCTAGAATTTTAACTTTTAAGGGGTTTACGATTCCAGTTTGCCTGCAGTACGAGATAATTTCTTTTGACATTTGTGGCCAGGAACCCTGCTTTATCGCTTTGTATAGTTTTAAAGTAGTTTAAAGCTTGAATAACATAAAATAACATAATATAATGTTATTTATGTTATTTCCCACGCGAAGAACTCCTGTAAACCTTGCAGTATTGAAACTCAGTGAACAAGGCATCTTAGACAAGCTGAAAAACAAATGGTGGTACGATAAGGGTGAATGTGGCGCCAAGGACTCGGGAAGTAAGGTCAGTCGCTGAAGGTCTTTTTGTACTGATTAGCAATCACATATATATTTATATATATATATTTGACCCGCTGTTTTATTTTATACCAAAGTTATTCTCCAAAGTTAACTATTTACATTCTAAAGCATTGAAGAAAACACACCCCATCCCCGTCAAAAAAGGGAAAAAAGGGCAGGGATTTTTATTTATTTTTTATTTTTAAGAGAACTCCATTTTTTAAAAAAACTCAGTAAAAATGACAGCCTTTTTCTTTTGCAGTATCAAAGGCGCTAGTTGTAAGTACATTTTTATATATATATACTCAGGTTGACCCCTCCCTCAAAATAATAATAATCTCAAACTGGTATCTCTACTTTAATATATACCTACAGAAGTTCCGTTTGAGTCCATGTATGATTTTTTTAGCCTCCAGTTTGCCTTTATTTTCCATAAATTTTCAAAGCTCATCGATTTTATTATGAAATTCCGTAACTCCTTTCCATGCACAATGATGGTTTTTGAACAACAAATGCATGAGTGTTAAGGATGGATATTTTTCAGAGGACTTCACATTAATGAGCATGACATATCCTTTTTTTTTTTTAAAGAAAGAAAGAAAGTCTGGAGGGGTTTATTTTTTAAATATATATATAATAGCACACTATTTTATTGCTGGTTCATTCCATAAATCTTAGCCATTCAATTTTTTTTTATGATTATTCATCAAACCATTTTGCTACTGTATTACTTACATTCCATACCAGAAACTTTTGCCACTGCGTACTTTGATTTCCCTTTTATGGTATGGCTTTCAGCTTGTCACAAGCTTCACACACAAATTATGTTGCTGGGGCGGTGGGTGTGGACCATCCCAGTGGGGACTTCTCCAGTGGAACTTCCATAAGTTTGAAATGGATACTCCAGATGTAGAAGTGACCCAGGGGGTTTCCATCCATAAACGCTTTTCCTTCTTGATTTGGGAGAAAACATTATGCTTACCTGCTGTGATGAAGCATGGAGATGTATATATAATGGAACAATTTCAAAAGGAAAAAAGAACTGCAATACCCAACCAATATTAAATACTGATTTGGATGCATTTTTAAGGCACCAAACAACAGCCTGGTGTCCAGTTCCCATTGCAAACAGATGAGAATTGAACACCTGCCTTTCGTTTGTGCCTTTGAAAAATTACTGTTATAATGACCATAAAAGAATTACTAGAAGTTTTTTTAGAGGGCTCCATTTTCTGGTCCTGCTGAAGTCAACTCATGAGTATTGATTCCAGCAGGGCTTGGAGATGGCTTCTTGTTAAGGTGAACTTTGGGCCGATGGATGTTTGAATGCACCATTGCAGGATCAGCCTCTTTGTAACTCAAACCTAAAACCAAAAAATCAGAAAGGATTCAAAATTTATTAAGACAGCCAAGCCCAGTCTTCTAAAATGTGTTTGTTTTCCCCTGGCTGGAAGGAACTGATCTATTTTGGGATGTGGTTTTCATTGTTTGGTTTTGGGACATTTGTGGGGGGGGGGTTCCAAATTCAAAAGACATTTTGCAACTGCTTAAAGATTTTTGGTAAGCTGAGGCTTAACCTGCAACTTTTTAAAGAGTCCGTTTCAAATTTCTGCCATAAATTGGTCTGGAATCCAGATTGACATCAATTACTCAGGCCTTGCCTACATGAGAGAGCTGTGTTGGTTTTAGATGAAATTAGCTGTCAGACTGGAGCAAGCCCCTGTGTGTGGACTGCTTTTTTGTTAATTAGAATGGCTTGTTGCCACTTTCTGCTTGCTGAGTTACATTTTGCAATTCTCATAACCGTGGAGGCTCATTTAGTCCTACAACGTTAACAGCTGCTGATAGTTTAGTCACTGGTTGCAATGTGAGTCTTGGCTGGGAGGGGAACCCAGTCTCGCAAGCCCAAAAGCAGTCTGTCCACACTGAGACTTTAACCAGTTTGACTCAATCTGTTTGAATTCATATTCCAATGCACACCTGCACAGCCTTCTCATGTTGACAAGCCTTCTGATTTTCTTTGTGTCACAGCTCAAACCATAAGTATTCAAACAATTGAGAAACCATGTAGCAGGTAATCCAATTCAGCAGCAAAATGGTTATGATGGTGTCTCAAAACAGAGAAATCATTAATATTATTTTTTCAAACAAAAGGCTTCCCCCATTGCCTTGATGGTGCACCTTAGAAAGTATAGATTGATTAATATTTTAAGCTGGGAGTTTTGTTTGTTTGTTCAATCCCAGAAACTCAAGTGAGAGCGTAGGGTTATTTAGCTCAGCCTGAAAGTAACTGACCAGCTTCATCAAACATAGCAACTGTTGCTACCAGATGTTAAAACAGCAAAAAAAGTGATTCTTTTCCTCTACATTCTCCAATATCAACAGAATTAAAGGCCTAACTTTAATTTTTTTAAAATGAAAAAGCAGTTTTTTTCTGAATTCACCGTGCTATGTTCTGCCCCGCTCCAGAGGGGGAAATGTTTAAAAGATCAATAGAAAGGCTCAGGTTAGCACAGTGATATTCACCATGAAGCTGTGTGTAGTCAGCTACAAAGTGAATACCACTGGTTAGGGAACTATCCATATTGTTACCAGATACTGTATAGTTAGTATCAAGTAGGGGGAGATAAAACATTATTTCCTGGGTGTTCCTGCCTTAAGCCCTTTCATGTCATGGGACATTATTTGTGAGATGAATCTGGCAAGAGTGTTTTGGTTTAGCTGGTTACCTCTGAAATTGATGTAAAGATTTGGGTACAAAGAGTTCTAAGCTGCAAAATAGTGAGAGAGTGAGTTGTCTAAATGCACATTTAGGCCTTCAAAGCTAGACACCTCTAGAAAGATGTTGTCCTTCTGTCTCTTTCCTTCCCGCTGCAAAACTAACCAACTGGTTCATTTTTCTTAGGACAAGACAAGCGCTCTGAGCCTGAGCAATGTTGCTGGGGTTTTCTATATTCTTGTCGGAGGTCTCGGCCTTGCCATGACGGTGGCCTTGATAGAGTTCTGTTACAAGTCACGGGCCGAGTCCAAACGAATGAAACTCACAAAGAACACACAAAACTTTAAGCCTGCTCCTGCACCCAATACCCAGAATTATGCTACGTACAGAGAAGGCTACAACGTGTATGGAACAGAAAGTGTTAAGATCTAGTGGTACGGCTAAAGGTCCAGTAAGCAAATCAACTGGTTTATGTTTTTGGTGTTCCCTGTGGTGATGTGTTGTTGGTGTTGTGTTCCCCAACGTGGAGTAACATCTCAGGATTATGCACATCAGAAATGGGACACAACACAGTTGATGCCTTTCCAACATGTGTTCTAGCAATGCCATGGGAACGGCAGTAGTAGTTGAATGGCAGAGCACCTGATTCACATGCAGGAAGTCCTAGGTTTGTCTCGGCCCTCTGGCTGGGAAAGAACCATGTCTGAAATCCTGAGAGGCCACTGAGAGACATACCCAGTGAGATTGGTCAACATTCCGACTCCGTATAAGGCAGCTTCCCCACCTTTAATTCCCAAACAATTATTGGATTAATTCTTAAACCATTTGCCATCCTGGATTTTCACTATGATGCCAGGACACTTTGAATGGCAGCTTCTAGGGCTCACCCAAGACTTGCCACCAAGAGATAATCTAAATAAAAACAGCACACACACCAGCACATACTCAATGGAAAAATATCCCAAATTTATTAGCTGCCATGACTGGATGCATTAACATTGCAGCCTCCAACAATCACCTTAGTGCACCAAAAATTAATTTTACAAATCACACACACACACAAATATGAAACACACACAAATATAAAACAAGATCACATGTCATTAAAAAATCATAATAAACAATAAATTGAATTTGTTTGCCCTTAAGAGGGGCCCTTAAATTTGTCTCCTGAAGCAGCCGCCTCATTTATCCTCACTGGAAGGTCAGCCCTGAAAACTTTGGCACTGGGCATCACAGGTCTTGCCAGGATATCATCATGCCCTCCAGCCTTACACATAGAGATGGACATCATTGATTATTCTTTCCTGACTTTCTTATGATCTTTTCCCCTTTCATTTATTAAAGGGAACTGTGGTGACTTCAGGTAAGTGCATTCTTGAGGTGTCTCCCCTGCTGCCAAAGCTGTGGGGGTGGGGTGGGGTGGGGGGATAACACACTGATTTTCTACAATGATGTGATTTGTATAAGCAGCAAGGGTGAATGACAGGTGTGTATGTACATGGGAGTAGGAGTAGGGAATCTCCTGGTGAAGACAAGGGTAGAATTCCCATTTATTGCTTTCTAACAATGATTAAGGGCTTACCCACACTAACCCTTCCTTCATGCTTTCCTGGCACAGTCCAACACTTTAAAGCTCTGTGTTCGAGCACCCTTCTTTCTTTCTTTCTTTTTGGCTCCAGAGCTTTGCTCCCTGAAAAAACACACTTTCAAAAGCTGAATCAATCTGCAGAAAACCATTTGTGGACCGTTGCCTGGAATGAGTGGGGCAATAAGTGGATAAGCCCTAACTCCTATCTCTACTGCATTTGAAAGGTCACAGTAATGTGCTATAGCATTAGCAATCATCATTTCTCTAGCTATAAGTCATAGCATAGATAAAATGGCATTCAGAATTCAGCTACAAATTCGTCTCTCTATTTTCTGCCAGTGCAAGCAAGGAAGAAGGCAAGGTGACATAATTGTCCTTGTCTGATAGCAGAAAGCAAACAGGCTCACTTGATGTAACATAAATTCCTCCATGGCTAAACTCAGTCCCACACACAGAGAGATATTTATATACAAGGTAATATAATGACAACATCCTCTGTAGCTGTTCCAAAAGTAATTTCTCACAACGGCCATCCGGGAAGGCAAAGGTCATAACATTAATTCTTAATTCAGTAAGGCAATTCTACTTGGAGCTGAGGTTATTACTCCAAATAAGTAGATACAGCCTTGATAATTTCAAAGAAAGGTTAATTAGCATATCAGTAAAGCGGGTGGTGCTGTGGATTAAACCACAGAGCCTTGGACTCGCCAATCAGAAGGTCGGTGGTTTGAATCCCTGTGACGCGGTGAGCTCCCGTTGCTCGGTTCTTGCTCCTGCCAACCTAGCAGTTCGAAAGCACATCAAAGTGCAAGTAGATAAATAGGTACCGCTCCGGCGGGAAGGTAAACGGCGTTTCTGTGCGCTGCTCTGGTTTGCCAGAAGTGGCTTGGTCATGCTGACCACATGACCCGGAAGCTGTATGCTGGCTCCCTCAGCCAATAAAGCGAGATGAGCACCGGAACCCCAGAGTCGGCCATGAGAGTAATAGGCTATGAGTTATGCTCAGTAGTAGGACATTTGCTTTGCATGCAGAAAGTCCCAAGGTCACTCTGGCATCTTCAGATAGAACTGGGAGAGGCCCTTGTTTGAAACCCTGGAGAGCTATTGCCTATTAGTATAGGCAATACTAATATAGATGGATTAATGGCCTGATTCAGAGTCAGGCAGCTTCCTATGTTCCTTAAATCCACTTTGCAAACTCATCTGCAAACCTTGAAGACAGCTACATATATGGGATTCACATGCTACATTCCATGAGTTCATTATTTGTGTACCTGTATACACACTTAGAATCATAGAATTGTACAGTTGGAAGGGATCCTGAGGATCATGTAGTCCAACCCTGTGCAATGCAGGAATTTCAACTTGATCATGCAAGACAGATGGCTATCCAACCTTTGCTTAAAAACCTCCAAGGAAGGAGAGTCCACCCCAGGAGGTCTGTTCCACTATTGAGCAGTTCTTACTGTCAAAGTTCTTCCTGATAATGAGTTGGAATTTCCCTATTTGTCGATTAAAGCCATTGGTTCAGGACCAAGGCTCCAGAACAGGAGAAAACAAGCTTGCTCCATCTCCCATGTAACAGCCTTTTAGATATTTGAAGATGGCTATCATCTCTCTTTTTTTTTAATAACATATTTATTGAAATTTTCAAAAAAATCCAGAAAAAAGAAAAAAAGAAAAAGAAAACATTTACCATTTAAACCTTATTTTCATTACCATCTTTCCCAGACTTCCCCACACCTCCCCTTCTTGTATTCCATTTCCATTTATTTAATTCAACAAGTTCTTATCCCTAATTTTGACCTTATTATATTTAGCTCATTATTCAATTTAGTTCATTTTAAATAGCCACTTTCATCTTATAGTCCACAGTCTTTATACATTAAAATCTTTTTCTAAGGTCGACCCCAATTCCCTTCCACAAATTCCCCTTTTTTATACTCATAGCATAACAAAATAAAGAAATAAGCAAAATTCAAAATATAATTGTACACCCTTTGGATTCCTAAACTCCAACCCCCCTTTCCTGGTTTCGATCCCCAATGTCCATCAGTCTATCTGCTGTCAGCCTGGAGACCTCACATCCGAGGCCCTTAATTCTCTCTCAGTTCCTCTTTGCCGGTTTTTTTGATAGTCCTTTATACCAAACACCAAATCTCGGAGAAGCTCTATCTCAAAAATGTCCATTTTTCTTCCATCCAGACCTCTGTATCTAAAGGTAAAGCTCAAATCTTGTTTCTTAATCCTTTTAAGACTGAATGTCCCAAATACTCCAACTTTCATCTTAATCAATTTTATAATCCATGAGTCTTCAGATCTCCCCATTAGGAGATCTCTCCACTCTTCCTTGTCCAATTCAAACCAAATTCTCATCATCCACTTCTTGTCATTCTTTATGTCCTTCCTAACAGGCCTCTGGCCTTCCTTGATCCTCTGCGGCGTTGTAACTTCTCCTTCATTCCCTTCCAGATCATCATGTATCTTTTGTTCCCTTTTATCACATTGCTCAGATTTCTCTTCCTGTTCAGCTGCAAAGACTTTTGGTTCCGCTACAAGAGTTTTTTGTTCAGGAACAAGAACTTGAGTCAAGTCCCTTCCAATTTCAGTAAATTTATTTACTGTTTCATTCAGTGTGGAAGCTCTTGTAGTCAAAATATTGCTTTGTTCTTGAAGCTTTCCCAGGAGATAAAAAGTCCTGTTCAATTCAATGAATATTTTTCCACTTACAGCCATTCTTGTAATGTCTCAAAACCCCCTCTAGAGGGATTATGGTTACCTAGTATCCTTCCAGTCTCAACCCAAAAGTCAAAATAGCTTGTTCTTCCTTATTTTCAACAATTTATATTCATATTGTAACAAATCTAGCCGGCAAAGACACCAGAAACAATGTTCTCTTTTTATTCCTCAGCTTTGACAGCTACTTTGACAGCTGTCAAAAATCTTTGTAACTCTTCACCAGGCTCTCTCGCGGATCACTCCCGGTTCCCGGGGGGTTGCACTTCAACTCTCCAAATCAACTCTTATCCTCCAGCAAAATTACTTGTATTTTCCAATCGTGAAATTAATAACTTTTATCCAATCCGGGGGAAAAAGATTCACTCGACCTTAGTTGTCTAGTCCTTGCTTTCAGTTGTTTACAAGTCGGGGAGGCGGACTTCCTCTTTGCACCTTCCCTGATCGTGCCCGATTTAAAAGAAAAATTTCCCTTTTTAAGTCCAATTTCCGTATTACTCACGGGTTGTTGCTTTTAATCCAATTGTTCAAAGGAAGAAGTCAGCGCTCTCCGTCCATGGCATGCGGCTTCACTCAGCAGGGGAAGCAGAGGACTCTCAGCACCACGCCGCTCCCCTTCCCCCGTTCCGTAGCCTTTAAAAAGGCTCCTTCGCGAGTCAGGGTGCCCACCGAGTCACCACGTCCACGGGCTTCCGCGCCCGTGGTTTTTAAGGGTCCCCGCGTCGCCGGCGCGGCAGGACCCGATCCCTGTTGAGCCGATTCCCTCCGGAGCTCGGAGGGAATCCGCCATTAGACAATGGCGCTAACCCGGAAGTGAAGATGGCTATCATCTCTCCTCTCAGTCTCCCCTTTTCCATGCTAAACATAGTCAGCTCCTTCAAGCGCTCCTAGTAAGGCTTAGTTTCCAGACCCTTGATTATCTTGGCTGCCCTCCTCTGCACACATTCCTGCTTGTCAACATCCTTCTTAAATTGTGGTGCCCAGAATTGGACATAGTATTCCAGGTGTGGTCTGACCAAGGCAGAATAGAATGGTACTATTACTTCCCTTCATCTGGACACTGTACTTTTGCTGCAGCCTAGAATAGCATTAGGTTTTTTTGGCTGCTGCATCACACTGTTGACTCAAGTGAAGCCTGTGGTAACTTGACTACCTTTACAGTTATTCACATGTAGCATTCAGCAAGTGTACAGTCTGTGTCCCTGTGTGTTCAAGAGTTGAGCTGTACTCATCAGCAAATGTACATTCTTTCACTCAAACACTTGTTCATGTGTAGAGACAGCTTGCACCTGTGTTCAGTGTAATGTGTGAACAAGTCTTCTGTTTAGTTGGATTTTGTGGTGCTATGTATTTTTCAGTATAATGCTTGAGTAACTAATGTTCAGATCATTTCTTCCCTCATCCCTGGTTTTCACCTATGCCTTCGTGATAACCTCCCTCTCATGGGACACAGCTGAGATAGTTGCATTCTCATTGCAGATCCCGCACTTATGATGACATGCAAAGGAAGGAGCTACCAAGATCCCAGCAACTTCAGTGATCCTGACCACCTGAGCCAATTTTACTCCCTCCCAGATGTCGGGTCTGACACATTATTGACGATGGTGCAATGAACTCTTCATAGGAATTTTATTTTTTCCTTCAGTGCCTTACAGGAAATTCTTAAGACTCAAAAACAATGCAAACCATCAAAAAATAGTCTTGCTTTGCTTGAAAACAAAACAACAACAACTACTACTACTACTACTACTACAAGAAGAACACAGATTGATAAGAAGATGATATTCTCATACACGGAAAGAGAAAGAGAGAAAAGTATTCTTGTAAAAATAATTTTAACAAAAGTTCAACAGAAGCCATTCTTTGATACCACTGCACAGTATATATGGACGTTAATTCTTTTGAAAAGAGACAAAAGGTTTTCAAGTGCCCCCTTTTATCAAAATATTAAGCTGTTCTTAATATTATGCCTCAGAATACCACTGCTTATATTCTTAGGGCAGCCTGTTAACCTAACTCTGTGATTTCCTGTCACAATGTGTTGCTTTGTTCCTTCCTTTGTGATGGTAAGGATCCTCTTTGTTTTATTGAAATCTAGTCCCATGCCAGCTTTTGTACAATTCATAATTGATTCTTTACACACTCACTACATGCAATAGGAAATCCTGTCCATGTTTTCCATGTAGTCAACATTTCCTAATGAGATGAAATCATTGGATACCATGCTTTCTCTTGAATTTCCAGGACTCACGCCTTTTCTTTTTTTCTCTTCTGAAGATTAACAGTGTCCTCTTTCATTTATGGATTAGGCACTACCCCTTTCTGTATGCAATGCCTACTGTCAACCTGGTTATATGAAGAAAAAGAAGGAGGGGGAGCCATTTTGCTGCTATGATTGCATTCTGTGTCCAGAAGGAAAGATATCTGATATGCAGGGTAAGTGTTATAGTGATAAGAAATATGGCCAGAGGCATGCTCCACTGTGGTCTCTCCCTTGCCACCACACTGCCACTTCTTTCTTACAACTCCAACCCTCTCCAGCCTCTGCAGCAACAACTTCCAACTTGCTTTTGGGTAAGCTGAAGACACAGTCAAAACTGAAGCAGGAGAGAGCAGCAGCAATGTCTTACAGAATAACCACTTTCCACCAAGACTCTTGTCTGAAATTGAGAGGAACATAAATTTAAGATCAGTGCAAGGATGTGTCTCCAGTGCTATGTTTATTCAGCATTAGATATGTGGCTTGTTATTCATGCGTGTGCATGAATTTAATAATCTGCTCCTTGCTTTTAGCACTCAAGCAGTGCTAATTAAATCATTGATAAAATGTGGACTATAAAGATAACTAAACCTATCTGTAACAATACTCATTGTACATGTTTTTGACTGTTTGAGAGTTTCCTAGAGGGTAATCAGAGCTTATAAAGATTATTTTCTGTCATGGCTCAGGGTCTGTCACCATGGTTCTCCAATGATTCCGATACTGAAAAGGTTTCCCTGACCTTCTTTGAAATGCAGAGTCCCGTCCCACAAGTGTAATCAAAAGAGTGTATCACATTTATACATATCACACTGCAACAGATAAAAAAGTAATTGCTTAACTGAGATTTTTTAATTATTGTAGTGACTACAATAATAATTGTAATACTTGATACACATAATATTTGTTCCATATCAAGTATTAGGAGAGAATTACTATAGGGTATTCTTGCATGACTGAAATCACAATCGCTCTTTTTTCAGATATGGATGACTGCTCCAAATGCTCAGATGATCATTATCCTCACGAGGATAAGACGTCTTGCATTCCCAAAGTTTTAATCTTCTTAATGTATGATGAACCTCTGGGGATTGGTTTAGCTACTTGTGCTCTTTCATTCTCTTTGATCACAGTTTTAGTGGTAGGAATGTTTATGAAGCACCACAATACTCCTATTGTTATAGCCAACAACAGGAACCTCACCTACACTCTCCTCCTCTCCCTCCTGCTGTGCTTCCTTTCTGCATTGCTATTCATTGGACAGCCTCATAAGGTGACGTGTCTAAGTTACCTGACACTTTCAACGAAGCCAAGTTTATCACTTTTAGCATGCTGGTGTTTTGCAGTGTTTGGTTATCATTTATCCCAACGTACTTGAGCATTAAGGGGAAATATATGGTAGCTGTGGAGATGTTTTTTATCTTAGCCTCCAGTACTGAGTTGTTGGGCTGCATCTTTTCTCCCAAATGTTACATTATTCTGTTGAAGCCTGAATTGAACAATAGAGAGCAGCCAATAAAAAGGAAAGATGTAAGAATCAAATGACTGTGTCTTCTACTATAGTTAGTGATCTCCAGATAGGCTGTTTATAAATTGCCTCTCCATTTCCTAAGAAGGTTGTTGTGTGTTCATAGTTGTTACCACTGAATACAGTTTTATGGAGAGAAAAAACACAGGTGAATTTTAATGAGGATTTTTATTTTTTTTACTTAGGAAAATCTCTGACTGATATGGAAATATGGAGAACTGTATTTAATATTGGGGGAAATGAGAAGTTGGAGTGTGTTGAGTACGATTCTAGCTCTGGATTGGAAGCTAGAGCTCTCGGTGATTGAATTCCATCTCCTCCTCCCTCACCCTGTCCCTACCCCACCATTCTCCTTACATGGTGTAGATAATAATTGCAACACTTTGGAGGCATTCTGTCTGGCTTTAGAGATACTGCTTTTTAGTTCCATATCAGCACAATTCACTATGAACTGATTGAGGTGCACCTAATGGTGTGGTTTGTAGCTGCCTCGATACAATCTGGATTCAGCACAATTGGGTTACAAATGGCCTGATTTGGTTCAAGAATCAGACAAATCAATTATTCAGCCCTAATCACACAATGAAAGATACTGAAAAAAGTTTCTTGGCTGTCATGACTGCCATGTAACTATGAACATGGATTCAGCACAAATATTGAAGCCTGTGACATCAGCCAGTGCAAGGCATTAATCTGAGTGAAATGGGTCAGCCACAGCAATAAACATATATTATCAAGCTCATTGATATTATCAGTTCATTGGCCAACCTAAAATGCTGATGTGTCTCCTTCGCCGAACTGCTTTTTTCGCAATCTTCTCAGTTACAGTTTCTTCTATATTGGCAAAAACTATCACTGTGGTTCTGGCTTTCATGGACAAGAAGCCAGGAGGCACAGTCAGAAAATGGGTGGGGAAAACACTGTCCAACTTCATTGTGCTTTGCTCCTCCTTCATCCAAATAGGCATTTGTGCTGTGTGGTTAGCAACCTCTCCTCCATTCCCACACATGGACATGCACTCAGTGACTGAATAAATTGTATTAGTGTGCAACTAGGGGTCTTCCACCATGTTTTACTGTGTCCTGGGCTATATGGGCTTGCTAGCCATTGCTAGCTTTACTGTGGCTTTTCTTGCCAGGAAATTAACTGACAGTTTCAGTGAAGTCAAATTATCACTTTCAGTATGCCTGTGTTTTGCAGTGTTTGGGTATCCTTTGTTGCAGCCTACTTGAGCTGCAAGGGGAAGTACATGGTGGCTGTGGAGATTTTCTCTATTTTAGCCTCCAGTGGTGGTCTTCTGGATTGCATCTTTTCTCCTAAATGTTATATTATTGTGTTGAGGCCCTAGCTAAACACAAGGGAGCAGTTAATTAGGAAAAGTCAATGAAGTGTTTAGTAGCTAATTTATGTAGTCATTTAAACACTTTTCCAGTTGCAATGGTTTTTAAAAAGATCTACATAGATCTGAGAAGATCCCTGGGTAGAGTGATGATCCTTTGTGAGGGGAGAGTGGTATGACAATGACTGCCTTTTCCCTGGATGCAGTGATCCATTTCTTAATGTTATTGGCATCCTTCTGTCTAGGAAGGCAATGGAGTGCGCCTCGGGGGGGGGGTGAAGTCAAATTATGCTGTTTTTGCTGCATTAGCAGCACTGAAGTGACCACTTAGGGCACAAGCATGGGCAGTGTATATGGAGTTGCATGCCAAGGCTCTGGGCCCCACATTTCCCTTTGATAATAAAAACATTGATACAACGTACATAAAATAAGGGCACCCTGAGGAGTCCCCGTTGGGGTCGTGGCATGGCCCAGCCCATATCCAGGCATCAGACAGAATCCACACCGCTGGATCCCTTTAACAGCATATCCTTGATGAGGAGGGGCAGGTGGAGTCTACAGCCTCACCTCCATCCAAACAAAGGCTTACCCTAACCTTACAAAGTTGTGACGATTGCTACCAGGCAGGCGAAAACCAAATGAACAAAGAAACAGTGGGGTCACTCAGAGGAGAAGATGCTGAAATGCAAACAGGGGACACAGAAAGGGCTGAACTCCTCAATGCCTTCTTTGCCTCAGTCTTCTCCGATAAAGAAAACAATGCCCGACCTGAAGAATTTGGAGCAAATGGTTCAGCAGAGGAAACACAGCCCAGAATAACTAAGGAGATAGTACAAGAATTACTTGGCTAGTCTAGATGTATTCAAGTCTCCAGGGCCAGATGAACTGCATCCAAGAGTATTAAAAGAACTGGCAGATGTGATTTCAGAACCACTGGCAGTCATCTTTGAGAATTCCTGGAGAACAGGCGAAGTCCCGGCAGACTGGAGGAGGGCAAATGTTGTCCCTATTTTCAAAAAGGGGAAAAGAGAGGACCCAAATAATTATCGCCCAGTCAGTCTGACATCAATACCAGGGAAGATTCTGGAGCAGATCATTAAGCAAACAGTCTGTGAGCACCTAGAAAGGAATGCTGTGATCACCAATAGTCAGCATGGATTTCTGAAAAATAAGTCATGTCAGACTAACCTGATCTCGTTTTTTGACAGAATTACAAGCCTGGTAGATGAAGGGAACGCAATGGATGTAGCCTACCTTGATTTCAGCAAGGCATTCGACAAGGTGCCCCATGATATTCTTGTAAAGAAGCTGGTAAAATGCGGTCTTGACTATGCTACCACTCAGTGGATTTGTAACTGGCTGACTGACCGAACCCAAAGGGTGCTCATCAATGGTTCCTCTTCATCCTGGAGAAGAGTGACTAGTGGGGTGCCACAGGGTTCTGTCTTGGGCCCGGTCTTATTCAACATCTTTATCAACGACTTGGATGATGGACTCAAGGGCATCCTGATCAAATTTGCAGATGACACCAAACTGGAAGGGGTGGCTAACACCCCAGAGGACAGGCTCACACTTCAAAACGACCTTGACAGATTAGAGAACTGGGCCAAAACAAACAAGATGAACTTTAACAGGGAGAAATGTAAAGTGTTGCACTTGGGTAAAAAAAAATGAGAGGCACAAATACAAGATGGGGGACACCTGGCTTGAGAGCAGTACATGTGAAAAGGATCTAGGAGTCTTGGTTGACCACAAACTTGACATGAGCCAACAGTGTGACGCGGCAGCTAAAAAAGCCAATGCAATTCTGGGCTGCATCAATAGGAGTATAGCATCTAGATCAAGGGAAGTAATAGTGTCACTGTATTCTGCTCTGGTCAGGCCTCACCTGGAGTACTGTGTCCAGTTCTGGGCACCACAGTTCAAGAAGGACACTGACAAACTGGAATGTGTCCAGAGGAGGGCAACCAAAATGGTCAAAGGCCTGGAAACGATGCCTTATGAGGAACGGCTAAGGGAGCTGGGCATGTTTAGCCTGGAGAAGAGGAGGTTAAGGGGTGATATGATAGCCATGTTCAAATATATAAAAGGATGTCACATAGAGGAGGGAGAAAGGTTGTTTTCTGCTGCTCCAGAGAAGCGGACACGGAGCAATGGATCCAAACTACAAGAAAGAAGATTCCACCTAAACATTAGGAAGAACTTCCTGACAGTAAGAGCTGTTCAACAGTGGAATTTGCTGCCAAGGAGTGTGGTGGAGTCTCCTTCTTTGGAGGTCTTTAAGCAGAGGCTTGACAACCATATGTCAGGAGTGCTCTGATGGTGTTTCCTGCTTGGCAGGGGGTTGGACTCGATGGCCCTTGTGGTCTCTTCCAACTCTATGATTCTATGATTCTATGAAATGGCTGGTGCCAATTTGCTAAGTGAAGAAAATTCCTACCTGGCCCCAACAATATGGCAGCCAACAGATGTCCATAGCAAGGTCATATATGAAAAAAGCATAAAAAGAGTGTGGGTGGGTAGGGAGACCCAGCAAAAGGAGGCCACACATACTACCAGAGCTGATTGACCATGCTGGGTGTAGCCCTGCCCAGTGCTGGTGACACGGCTGGGGTGATGCAAGCAAGGGGCATCAATCTCCACCCCCGTGCTGGAACACTATCGGATCCTGGATGCCCGGCCACAATGCTGCCCACCAGAAAAGGTGGTGCCAAGATGACAAGCCTGTCGTCCTCTACTTGGAATATGTTTGGTACCAGCTTGGCTGTAGGAGTTGCCAGAACGATGCATACAAGATGCCATCCACTCTGGATTTGTGTAGGGTTGACTACTTAGCATTTTCTTCTCCCAAATATGTCCTGCAAGGCAGTGGAGGTTTGGGATCAGTTTTCCATCTCCTAGATGGACTACTTTCCCAGGTTGACGAGCCCCATCTGCCCATGCCATAATATTCTCCTGCTTAAGTTAGACTGAAACATGCTCTACACAGAGCTGTCCTTGAGAAGTATCTTGATGTTTCTTGCAGTATGAGTATTCTCAATTAATAAAGAAATTATATGTTTCTTCTGTAAATTAAAAAGAGACTTGCTCATATCTGTCACAGAGTAAAATAAAAGTCATTATATATGTTTGTGTGTTTTCTTCAAAATATAAAACCTATCTTCTATATTACTAATCATAACATTGGAAGAAACCCACAGTGCTATCTTTCTATAATTCCCCAGTCTACAGATTGCCAAAAGATCCATGAAATTATGACAGAATACTGTGAATTAAATTCAGTATGGACCACAAAAAACCACATTGACCTACATATCTGATCTGCAACACTTTAATTAAAAAGAAGTGTGTTTTGCTCCTCTGTTCTGATAGAAGGTAGGGTGCATATGCAGTGAAATGTGGGCATGTTTCAGGTGGCATAGGAGAGGTCAAGCTACATTGAGCAGTTTTTATTGCATTACGGATTTTTGAAGCATTATATACTGAAACCTTTCATTGGCACAATAGGAGGTACTGGCAGACAGACGGGCATGCAAGGACATAATATTGTTGAACCCAGATGTGGACAATAATGGATTAGATGGACCAAAGGCCTGAACAAAACTCAAATTTTCTCATCCCCCACTCCCAGCAGAAGTTATTTAATTTTGCTAGTATAATTTTCTTATTATTGTTCTATACTGTCCACCTAATAGGGAGAAAACGCTTCCTTTTGGACATGACAATCATGCAATTTGAGTCCCCTGCAATTATTCAGTGAACTGCAATTATTGTCACTGTTTTCAAAATCCACTCAAGAGTTAGACTAGCCTAGTCAATAACAAAATGGGGGGAAAATTCTGAGACTGATGGAATAAAGGGAACTCTCTCTCATACAATTCTGAATAGAAATACAGTGTTCCATCACATTTTAAATTTCAGTAAGTAGGAAGCAGGGACACATGTTGTTCTGCTGCTAAGAAACATTAATCATAGTTTTACTTCTGCAGAAAAGCTAATTTAGATTAAGAGTGGGGTTTTTTTTACTCAGGATGGCTGCATCGGTGGTGTTACAGCTGATGATTTTCCTCATAGTGGGCAATAGTCCTTTTGCTAAATGTAGAATCCAGGATCCCTATCATATCTTTCACAAATATTTTCAACCAGGAGACATAATATTTGGAGCTATTTGTTCTCAGAGTCTCATCCTCTCCAGTCCAAAAGACTTCATACATAAACCTCCACAGACGCTATCTGAAGAGCCTGTGTAAGAAATGATTTTACCCTCTTTAGTATTTTGAATAAACATTCACAAACTTTTTATTGATAATTATTACTTAAATAGTTTGAGGATCTATACAATTGTGTAACATGCAGAAAACAGCATTTTTAGAGAAATCAAAGACTGGAATTGAGGGAAGTCGGGGGGTGGGTGGGTTCTGTGGGGGGAGGGAGGAAAAAGGGGGAAAATATGGATGATATGTTTGTAGATAATATGTTTTGTTTTAATTTTGAATAAAAAAGTAATTTTTAAAAAAGAAATGTAATAGATGATATTAATGGTAGGCAGTCAGTAATAAGTACACAGTACTAGGTTATAGCAACATTGTGGTGAATAGTAATAATGAAATATGTGCACAGCACAGTAGAAATATTTTTATAAAATGTGGAAAATGCATGTAACACTAAATGCAAATATCTTTGCAGTATAGTGACAAAGAATTACCAGCACATCCTGGCCTTGGTGTTTGCGGTAAAGGAGCTAAATAAAAATCTCAAGCTCCTACCAAATTTGACACTCGGATTCAACATTTATGACATCTATTCCAGTGCTGAATTGACCTATCATGCCACAATGAAACTGCTTTCCACAAGGAATATATTTATCCCCAACTACAAATGTGACATCCAGGAAAATCTGATTTCCATCATTGGGGCACTGCATTCAGAAACATCTCACCAGATAGCAAATGTTTTGAGTATCTTCAAGATTCCTCAGGTAGAGTGCTTGTGTGATTCAGGAATCTACATTTTATGCCATTTTCTTCTTTATTTTCAGATGTGTCATAACCATTCAAAGACAGCAATGGGTATAAACAAATATGTTTCATCATTTCATTGAACATGTTATTCAGAGAAATCAAAATAATGTTTATCTTTATTACATAGTGAATAGAAACCTTTCCTTATATGAGCTTTAGTAATATTGTTATCAACACATCTGAGGAGATCAGGTCATGTACACGTGAATTTTTCATTTGATGATTCAGATGGGCTTAGAATTCTTTATGTCTTTTAATTTTTCTACTGTTCATGTTGAGGGCGGTTTATACGTTATTGGACTGTTATCCTTCTTTTGCATTGGACTACATACTTCTCCTCTACAATCTGTAAGAAGGAACTATATTGTTTGATGAGTGACATGACTCTATGGCAGCTTAGTACCACAACTTTCCCTATGGTAAGATAATAATTCTGCCTACTTCTCTCCAAATTGACCTTTAGCTATTGTATGGTTCTATGTCTTGGAGGACACTTCAAACTGAATTCCTTTCCTCCTATCGAATGGTCCCAGATGATATCCTCCAGTACTTGGGGATTCTACAGTTACTCATTCACTTCAAATGGATATGGTTTGGATTCATTGCTGATGACAATGATAAGGTAGAAATGTTTCTGCAACACATGCTTCCCTTATTTTCCCAGAAGGGCATCTGTTTAGCCTTTGTAGAAACATGCCCTTCAAGTTTTAGTTTTGATGAAGATGATGAGAATGGAGAAGTAATGAAAAAAGGGATTGAAACCTACAACAGAGTCATGAGCAGCACAGTCAATGCATTGGTGTTCTATGGAGAAGCAGATTCCATAATCTTTTTGAGATGGGTACTATTTCTACCAGAGGTGGATGACACAATACGAAAGCCAAAAGGTAGGATCTGGATTCTAACAGCTCAGATGGAGTTAAAATCATTTGTCCACCAACGGCATTGGGATATCCAAGTCCTCCATGGTGCTCTATCTTTCGCAATCCACTCCAAAGAGGTTCAAGGGTTCAAGGAATTTCTTCAGGGCAGAAACCCTTCCAGTACAACAGAAGATGGTTTTATCAGAGATTTCTGGGAACAGGCATTTGGCTGTGTATTCCCAAGCTCTGCTTTGGATGATGTGGTGGGTGATATTTGTACTGGAGATGAGAGTCTGGAGAACCTTCCTGGGCCTTTTTTTGAAATGAGCATGACTGGTCACAGTTACAGTATCTATAACGCTGTCTATGCAGTGGCCCATGCTTTACATGCCCTGCTTTCATCCAGATCCAAATATAGAATAATGGCAGAAGAAGAAAGAAGGGAACTTCAGAATATTGTACCATGGCAGGTAAGGCCTGTGAGAAATATTCAAACATAAATGGTGTTGTCATTAATAACATTTCACTACTGATATATTACATTGCAGTGATACCTCCGGTTAAGTACTTAATTCGTTTCAGAGGTCCGTACTCAACCTGAAACAGTTCTTAACCTGAAGCACCACTTTAGCTAATGGGGCCTCCCGCTGCTGCCGCGCCACCGGAGCCTGATTTCTGATCTCACCCTGAAGCAAAGTTCTTAACCTGAAGCACTATTTCTGGGTTAGCGGAGTCTGTAACCTGAAGCGTATGTAACCTGAGGTACCACTGTATTTAATATAAGTAACATCATATAGAGATAGAAGAGTTTCAGTGTGACTTGTGACATCCTCATACTCAAGTTGGGGCAAACCCCAGCTCCCCCTCAGAAGAAGATTCTGTTGATTTTTCATGGTGGGCGTGGGTGGGTTGGCCTATGTGAGAAGATTGGCCAACCCAGCCCACTAAAGGGAGAAACACACTAGTCTTCTCTTTGGAGTGCCTTCCCTCCCTTCCCTGTGCAGTATGGACTTTGCTAATTGCCCATTTGGAAGCTGAGTAGGAATTTTACAGGAGCTCCGAATTGGCCTGGGGGCTCCCCTTATTCATCTACTTCAAGCTGTTGAGTGCAACTTGCATGGAGTGGCAATGAGTTTTGATTGGTTTAATTAGCTGATAGGCTGCCAGTAAAGACAAGTGAAGAGATGGTAAGGCAGTATTGGATTAAGGGTTCTCTTTGGCCACTTTACACTGCCTTGTTTGGGATCACTGGGAGAAGGGGGCTTTGCATGTGTGTTAGGGTGAATGCTGAGCTGTTGGGGCTGTTGGGCACTTGTTAACTTTAAATACCCGATGCTCTCAAAGCAAGGAGGTCCCTTGTTCCAAGACCACAGGTTTCAATTAGAAACATGCCAGAGAGAGAGAGAGAGAGGGGGGGAAGGAGGGAGGGAGGGAGAGGGAGACATGGCTTCTCCCATCTTAGTGACTTCGCTACCTGAACTATATTTTGATTAGTATAATTATGTGTGTTGGCTTGCAGATCTTCTAAGATGTTATATTGAATAAATATAATGTTTTTCCCACAAAAGTGTGGAAACCTTTTCACTGGTGTTGACAAGGTCCAGGATAAAAAACAACAACCCAATGCATTCCACAATGGCAGACTGTTGTATCTCAGAGATAATGGTTCAAGTTCCTTTTGTTAAGCACCTGTGTTTTACTTTTCAATCTAGATCCACCACTTTCTGAAACAAGTCTCATTTAACAACACTGCTGGGGATGTGGTTTCTTTTGATCAAAATAGAGTATTAATAGGTGGATTTGACATTGTAAACTGGGTCACATTCCCAAACCAATCTTTTGTTCGAGTAAAAGTTGGAAAGATGGATCCTGAAACCCCAATTCCAGAGCAAGAATTCACTGTTAATGAAGATGCCATTGTGTGGCACAGCTGGTTTAACCAGGTAGGACTTGGAAACAGCAGTTTGTGCAGTTTCCTTACAGAAGCACTGGGCTCATCCACACTACCTTTTTTGTGTCATGCTTTCGAGGCACAGGCCCGGGATTTTGAAATCCATGTCTGAGTGGTTTGGTTTTTATTTTTATAAAATATTTTCATTTTTGTCTCACTGCTTTCCCTGAGGAAACCCACTGGAAAATAAATAAAATAAAATAATCACTGTTAGTAATTAATATTTTTTTAACAAAATGAGCATCCTCTTTTGAAGATCTTCCTCTATTCATAATAAAAATGACAGATATTTTGCATGGCTGTCTCCCTCTAGTGCCTGTGTGTTAGCATTCATTCAAGGACAGTGAAGCATTGTCACTGTGAGAGGGCTGTACTGAAAGGAAAGGAGATACATCCCAATGGGTAACTTTCACAGTGTAAGAGGTAACTGTGTCACTTTCTGAGTGTACCTATCTTCAATTTGCTATCTGAATGGTGTTAATCTTACTTATCAAACACCTTGGTATTAAAACCACACAAAATTCACATTCTCCCCTTTCACTTATGGATTAGGTACAGCCCCTTTCTCTATGCAACGATCACTGCAATTCAGGTTATAGCAAGAAAAAGAAGGAAGGACAGCTGTCTTGCTGTTACGACTGCATTCTGTGTCCAGAAAATAAGATATCAAATGAGAAAGGTAAGATTGGTTGCACACAGGGTTATCAAATAAGTTGTACATAATTCAGAGAATAATGCATGCAGGCCTCGACATCAAAAAGTAATCTCAACAGATAATTGGAATAGGTGTGGGGAACCTCTGGCCCTCCAGATATTGCTGAACTACAATTCCCATCAGCCCCAGCATTCATGTAAATGGCCAGGGATGATGGGAACTGTAGTTCAGGAACACCTGGAGGCCCAAAGGTTACCCATACCTACTGCAGAATGAGACAACAGATAATAGCAGGATGGTTAAAACCAGGGTGGGGAAAATGTTAAGCCCAAGGGCCACATACTCCTATGAACAGATTTTCAGGGATGTATCCAGATATAAAAGTAGATAGATCAAATTATGACTCTTGCCTTAATACAATAGGCTACATTCCAGCTACACAGAAGATAAATTTGTGCACCTTCACATTCCTCTCTTCCCTCTCAGTCCAGGCTAGCAAGAGGCATTATTATTGTTAAAAGGCACAGTCCATCCAGACAAAAGTGCTCTAGTAGGATGCTGAGCTCTGTGGGGTTTGTGGGGAGTCCTGAGGTAAGGAAAGAGATAGCTGGAGGATTTGAGGTTCCAGTCCTATTGGGTAATAGCTCAACACTTAATTTAACTATAATTAAAGATTTGCAACAAGATAACTAATAATCCAATCCTATATTTAAGAATAACTAAAGTTTGCACCAATTCTGCAACACCGCAGCACTACACTGGCTCGAAATTATAGGTCAGTGCTTTTCATTGCTGGCCCTTATCCAATGCAAGCTGAGGGGGCTCCTGACTCTTCCATCCCATGTCTCTTGGGCAGCATTTGGAAAGAAGAAGCTTCTTGAACCTTGACCCCACTCCCTAACACACTTCAAGGCAGCTAGCAATAAGAGGAAGGTTGGGAAAGCATTATTTCACAAGGGAATAACTCCAAGCACCCACCTCCTCCCTATATGACAAACTTGCCAAATTTAGGTCAAATTCACGTGACGAAAGTAAAAGAGCCAATTACCAAATTAAACCAGCACATCCTGCATTAACTGTAGTCTAATAATGGAAAACCCCATGGGCATAGGTGTGGGGGGGCAACTGCCCCCCCAATCTAGTAAATAAAAACAAATACTTAACTAACTGACCAATTGTGTCACAGATAACTCAGTTCTGCCTCCCAACATAATACCTGTCTCTCCTAAAATAAATCCTGGCTATGCCTATGGAACACCCCCCCCAAAAAAAAATTGCTTTCAGTTGCCCTTCTCCCAAAAGATAAATGTGTAATCCCAAATTGATACAGAGGAATGAGTAAGCAGAAAACTGTATTGAGACTGGTACAGAAGGGAACAGATGCCTCAAGAAAACCCAATTCCGTGTCCTCTGATAGGCTCGATCCTTGAACATAATAGGGCCTAGCCAGCCATTCTCCCATGGTGGGACAAAATGGTCCATGATACATTCAACAAGAGGAGATAGATCATTCTGTATTTGAAATGTGTGTACAATTAGGAAGTAACACAATGAGCCTTACAATGTTACAGTTTCAAATGATGACATGCTAGAGGAGTTGAAGGGGCTAGGACTAATAGGATAAATTATTCTAGATATTCTGGAAAATGCTTTGAAATGAGATAATTCTTTTGGAATATGTAATGAACCATGGTTGTGACAACTGTTATGTACACACATTTTACAACTCACACAGAATTGAACGTTCAGTAAGTGTAATATAGTGCATGTGTTATATTTATTCATTATATAGGTCACTTTATACAAAAACAAATTCTCAAATCAATCTTCTTTTTATAAAAACCTACTTTGATATAGTAGAGACTACAACATTTCTTCCTTTTTTCAGATATGCCTGACTGCTTTCAATGCCAAGAAGATCATTATCCAAACGAGGATAAAAATGCATGCATTCCCAAGCGTATACATTTCTTGTCATATGAGGAACCTTTGGGGATCATCTTAGCCACTGGTGCTCTCACATGTTCATTGATCACAGCTCTAGTGCTAGGGATTTTCAGGAAGCACCATGACACCCCCATTGTGAAAGCCAACAACAGAGGCCTCACCTACACTCTCCTCATCTCCCTTCTGCTCTGCTTCCTTTGTGCTTTGATATTCATTGGCCAGCCTCAGAGGGTGACGTGTCTCCTCCGACAAACTGCTTTTGGCATCATCTTCTCAGTGGCTGTTTCTTGTCTGCTGTCCAAAACGGTGACTGTGGTTCTGGCTTTCATGGCTACCAAACCAGGATCCAGGATTAGGAAGTGGGTGGGGAAAAGATTGTCCACCTCCATTGTTCTTTCTTGCTCACTTATCCAAACAGGGCTTTGTGTTGTATGGTGGGAAACCTCTCCCCCATTTCCACATACTGACACTCATTCCATGAATTATGAAATTTTATTAGAATGTAATGAGGGCTCCACTATCATGTTTTACTGTGTCTTGGGCTACATTGGTTTCCTGGCACTTATCTGCTTCACTCTGGCTTTCTTTGCCAGAAAGTTACCTGACAGTTTCAATGAGGCCAAGTTTATCACTTTCAGCATGTTGGTCTTTTGCAGTGTGTGGCTGTCCTTTGTTCCAACCTATCTGAGCACCAAAGGAAAATACATTGTTGCCGTTGAGATCTTCTCTATTTTAGCTTCCAGCTCTGGGTTGCTGGGCTGTATCTTTCTCCCCAAGTGTTACATTATTGTGATGAAGCCTCAGCTGAACAATAGGGAACAACTAATAAGAAAAAAACCTTGATTTTTACTGTGTAATAAATACAACAGATGTGTTGTTCTGTGAGCTATCCCAGCCTGTACATGCACTAGAGTTCTACAGATGCCTACTAATTTATAAATAATTTTAGAGGCAAGATGTTCTTGAAATTGTTCTCCTTGAAATTCCCTTTCTGCCACTGAAATGAGGGCTCAACCATAGTGTTTTACTGTGCCTTGAGCTTTCTGCGCCTTTCCTTTCCAAGAACCTCCATGAAGCCAAGTTCACCACTTTCAGCATGCAATATATAAAAGGAAAAAAGGAGGAGCCTGCAAACTACAGACTGATTAGTCTTTTCAGCATCATCAGAAAACTCTGCACAAGACACCTACAATGGAAACTCCTTGATTGGACTGCAGTGGAGCAAGCTGGCTTTAGGGATCGATCCTTGATCCACTACTGATCAGTGCTCAGTACTTCAGCACCTAATTGAAAAGTTCTCCTGTAAAACAACCTCCCTTTATGCTGCTTTCATAGACTTCAAAGCAGCATTTGACTCCATATCCAGAAAAACTGGAGGCTGCCTCAGATAGACCGACAAATGCTTCATCTAATATGTATGTTTCATGAAGGGACCTCACTCAAAGTAAGATGTAACCCCCGGGGCCATCTTACTGATGCCATTGAAACTGAGAAAGGTGTCAAGCAAGCCTGCATACTGGCCCCACTCTTATTTAATTATTATATAAATTCCATGGTGGGCCATCTCCACAACATAAACATTCACCCCAAAAAATTGCTTGAAGACACATCTCTGTCCTGCTGTATGCATATGATCCAGCAATACTTTCAAGAACACCTTTTGGCCTCTAAAGAGCACTGGGAACATTAGCACAATACTGCAAGGAGGACCAGCTAGAACTCAACTATCAGAAAACTAAGCTCATGGCATTTGCCAAAAGGCCTTTGAGCCACTCTTGGAGCATAGATGGCCACAAGATTGAGCAGGTCTCTTGTTTCAAATACCTGGGGGTTGTTTTTCACTCTACCAGCAGTAGGAAAGCCCATGGGGAACATGTTGCTGAAACTGCACAGAGAAGCTCATCTGCAATCCTTAAATTTCTTAAAACAAGAGGTGGCCACTATATACCCGCAGCACTCAAATTCATTGAAGCCAAAACAATAGCACAACTTGTCTATGGTGCCCAGCTGGGCCACTTCTCTATTTTGTCATCCCTAGAATTTGTACAATCCAAATTTCTAAGATCAGCCCTTCAAGTCCCACAACATGTCTCTAATGCCACCCTGAGACTAGAAAAAGGTTTCATAAAAGTGGAGACTTCAGTGTGGGTGACCATACTCAACTACTGGCTCAGACTATTTTTATTTCCCCTTGGCCTTGCCCCACTAACTATGAACGATGATTTTCAATCCACATGGAAGCAGACTGTGGTAACCTCAGCCAGTCGCCCAATCCCACCTGGGGAGGCGTTGCCAGGGGATCGGCCAGATAGGGGTAGGGACCGCCCTGCCCAAACAACAGAGGGTGGATCTTACCTGCGAATCGGTTTCAGGCCTTGGGTGGAATCTTTTAGTCTATTTTCCCTAAATGGGGGGGGGAGCGTGAAGTGGTGACCCATGCCCCCCTTGCGGTGGTGATCCCAGGGTTCCCCATTAAAGGGGTCTTGAGGGGAGGCATTGGTCATATGCCGAGAGGTTGTCATTGCTCTCCCCTGCGACGACAGTGAAACGGGGGGGCTCTCTGCTTGAACATATGTTCTCCAGAGCCAGCCCAATCCCCACACATTTTGGATAACCCTGATGTCTCCCAGATCCCTGGCTGGGGACTAGGAAGGATAAATGCCCAATGCGTGAGCCAAGGTCTCCCTACATCTGAAACTTAATAAAGTTGTGGCCAGTTTTAATCCCATAGCACGTTGTCTTGAGTCATTATTCCACTCGGGAGTTGCCTGGGGTGGGGGTGGGGACTCCGCCTGTCCACGCAATGGGCACCCATATTGGAGTGCTCTGTAGACTGATATCTGTGGTCTTATATATACTAGCCTTTTGTTCTCTTTCACTCTTGTCTGATGTTCCTAACCCTTCTTTAAGACTTTCTTAGCTTCTTTTGGATTCTTATATCTATTCTGTTTTAACTTCTTTTAGTGTTTGTTTGTTTGTTTGTTTGTTTGTTTGTTTGTTGATCTTTTTATTTTAAATGACTTTAAAAGATTGTACCCCTCCCTCCTTATGCTGGTCTACGACTGTAATAAAGTGGTGTTGTTGTTGTTGTTGTTGTTGTTGTTGTTGTTAGTATTTTGCAGTGTTTGGTTATCCTTCATTGCAGCCTACCTGAGTTCTATGGGGAAATACAGGGTAGCTGTGGAGATCTTCTTTATCTTAGCCTCCAGCCTTGAATTGCTGGCTTGCATCTTTACTCCGAAAATGTTACATCATTGTGATCAATACTGAGCTGTGGTTCAGTGCTTCTCAAACACTTCAATCTCTTGTTCAACCAATGGCTGGCAGGGTGAGGAACAATCTCATGTGAAAGTTTTAAGAATTACTACCTTTCTGTAAACTGTCCTGAGCTAAACTGAACAGTGGTCTAACTCAATGTTTGACTGCTTTCTAAGTTCTGATGACATTACAGTAATATTTTATGTGTGGGATAGTCATAATATACTGTGTTGCTCAGTCACATAACCTTGCAACCCGGTGTAGAAACCTACTCCCACTGTCAGGCTGAGGCAGAGCAACAGCTCTGCGGCTGAGCATGGTTAGGGAGTGCTGTAAGTTTATGCCACCTTAACATACACCAAATTGTTTTATACCAGCTTCTTGTGTGTAGGATTGCTCCCTCAGTGAGCCATAACTTTGTACTAAATTAGTCAGAATACACCAGAATTTCATATATTGTTCATGTCTCAATCCCAATTCACTATTTATTTAATTATATGTTTTAAATTTTCCTTCCTTCCTTAAAGGGTGGGGAGGGAGAGAAAAGCCTGTGATAAATTTACCCATAATCTTTTTTCAATCTGCATTCAATTAAGCCCTCTACAATCATAACCATCAAGTGTGGAGAAAACACATAAGGGGAGGTAGCAGGGACAGACCAAGAAATTTTATTGTTGAGGTGAAGAACTAAATTGCAGCCCCCTCTCCATTCCAACTACATGAGGTGACTGGGGTGACAGTGGAATCACCCTTTAACACTGCAGTAGTTTTTCCTCCACTCTGACCAACTCCAATGGACCAACTTGGAAAATACATTGCAAGCTAGTGAACACATACAGTCCTGTCTTCCAACATATTGTCACCACTGCTTTCATCTAGCACTGCTTACATCTACCAATTTGGGGAATAGGCCATAGTTCAGTGGTAGACCTTCAGCTAACAATAATGATGGTACCAGGTTCAAATGCTGGTATCTGTGGGTAGGATTCAGAGACCCCTGTTTTAAAAGGTGGATAACCAATGCCAGTCAGTGTAGACAATATGGGGCTAGGTGAACAAATTGTCTGGCTTAGTTTAAGGCAGCTTCTCATGTTTTTGATTTTGGCTCCAGATTTGGATCCAGATCAATTTCTTTAACTACTAGCTCCATTTTCTTCTTGTTACTCAAGGCTACCCCACTGAGTAAGAGATAATACTTTCCTTCAGAGATGACAAACATGTATTTATTTCACTGTTCTCCAGAGAATACATCTTTCATCTGAGGCCCCTGCAATTAGCTAACAAACTGCAATTGATTCTGCTGCTTGCAGAATCCCCCTGAGAGCTATAGTAGCATAGTCAATAACAGAACTAATTAAAATACTGTTACTTTGGAATAAATATAACTCAATCCCATACAATTCTGAACTAAGGAGCAGAATTTGGGAGAGATAAAGCTCCATGAGTTTCCTGTTTGAGATGCAAGATCTTAAACTCCAAAATTAGGGTGCAGGGACATACAAGGCTCGACACTGAAGGAACACTGATAATTATGTTACATCTGAAGACAGGGAGCAAGATCAATAATAAATATTAGTATTCAGGATGCCTGCATCAGTGGCATTGCATATGCTCCTACTGTCCCAAATATTGCCCACTTCTGTTGTTAAATATGGAATGCAGGATCCCTTTGATATTCTTCACAGGTATTATCAGCCTGGAGACATCATCTTTGGAAGCATTGGTTCTCAGAGCATAATCCTTTCCAGTCCAAAGGCTTTTGATGAACAACCTCCCCAGAAACTATCTGAAGAAGCAATGTAAGAAATACTTTTTTCTACAGTATACCTAGGATATTTTCTATTTTACAAGCTCCCAATACAGTAGAGTTGGCAAATTTGTTCTGTAGCAGTGCATGAAAGATATATTTTCATTACTAAACCTTTTAGCATGATGTGTTAATGTATTTCTATGTTGACTCACACTCCAAGATGACAAGAAATTACAGCTGTTAAGGACCACAGCTTTAGCAAGCATGATATTTAGGGAATATTGATATGGTATGGTAATCCAGCTTCATTGCTACTTTGGAGTTGCATGACCGTCAATGGCAGAAGGATGGACCCAAGTCTCAGATTCCCTGTTCATTGGAGTAGACACATGCTGCCTATTCAACTGATTCTCTCATGAAATTGAAGCTACCATTTAGCATTACAAGTTCTGAACTGGCAACTAATGTCATCCCTATAGAATGATAAAGTTGGAAGGGAAATTGAAAAGCATCTGGTCCAATCCTCTCCTTAGTGCATGATAGCCATAGTTGAAACATTCCTCCTTCCTCTTGCTATCAATCTTTCACACAGGTTTGGGCTAGCTTTCTCAAACTGAAGCAAATATCCTGTCCGTTTTTTTTCATAATTCAACATGGTTCAGAAGTAGCAAAATAAATGAGAAAAAGAGAGACATTTTAAGTACTTTTTCAGTTTATGGGACAGGAAATATTTAAGCTTAGAACTTGAATATAGAGTCTCAATAGAACATACCCTGGAAATATTCCACATAGAGATAATGTGGTCGAGCAGCTGCAGAAGGACACAGGAAATCAATTCAGAGAGGCCAATGCATCACAGATTAAAATACGAGTGCTGAAAAGACTTGTAAAGAGAAACTTTATGCAAGTGTTTATACATTGGGATTCCTACTGTGGAGGGGCGAGGGAGGTATGGCGGTGGGGGCAGATGTCATAGGCGAAGGGGATCGAGATATGGATATGCTCGTACCCCTTCCAATCTGCGCCCCATCCCGAGAGACGAGGGTAGGGTGAGCAAAGATTACTCACCTCCGTCACTGGTGTTGTGCAATGCCAGGTCTATAGGCAACAAAACCGCCACCCTGCGAGATTTCTTCATCTCGCAGGGGGTCGACCTGGCTTGTGTGACGGAGACCTGGGTGCGCGAAGGGGATACTGTTACTTTACGAGAGATGGCGCCCCCGGGTTTCTCCGTCCTCCACCAGTCGCGGACTGTGGGCCGGGGGGGAGGGGTGGCATTATTAATCCGGGAAGATTGTTCTTTCAGGGCTCTACCATCGCCATCGATCCCCGGCATTGAATGTGTTGGCCTAGTGTGGGGCTCCGAGGTGAGCTTGGCTGTCTGGCTGGTGTACCGGCCACCTAGCGCACCAGCAGCCACCCTGTCAGGCCTGCTGGAGGCGGTGGCCGGCTGGGCCTTGGAGTTCCCTAACCTATTGGTATTGGGGGACTTCAACATCCATGCTGATGCCACTCCCTCCTCACAGGCTCTGGACCTGGTGTCTTCCATGGCGACACTAGGGCTCTCCCAGTTTGTTTCGGGCCCCACACATCAAGCAGGCCACACGCTGGATTTGATCTTTGGCGCTGGTATAGATGTGATCATGTGTCCTTCGATGAAGGTGCCATGGTCTGATCACTACGCTCTGAAAGCCAGGATTGACGTTCCACCCCCACCCTGCTTAGGTGGCGAGCCGATTTGGGCTCGCCCGCAGAGGCTGATGGACCCTGATAGATTCCGTCAAGCCTTGCGGGACCTTTCTCCCCCTGGCGACTCATTGACTGAGCTTGTTGAGGGCTGGAATACCCATCTCCTGGCAGCCATCAATGAGATCGCACCTAAGCGCCCTCTGCGACCCCGCAGAAACCGGGCTCCCTGGTTTACTGAGGAGCTCCGGAAAATGAAGCAGGACCTCAGACGGCTAGAGCGAGTATGGCGGCGTGCCCGTGACGGAGCTTCAAGAACATCTTATAGGGTTTTTATGAAAACCTACGAGATGGCTGTGAAGGCCGCTAAGAAGTCCTACTTCTCGGCCTCCATTGCATCCGCTAGCTCTCGCCCGGCACAATTATTTAGTATAATTCGGTCTTTAACGTCCCTCGAAGGACAGCCAAATTTAAATAACAATTTGACACACAGCTGTGAGGCATTTGCGAGCTTTTTTGCGGAGAAGGTCTTGTTGCTCCGCCATGACCTCCCTGCCAATTTGGATACAATAAAGGAACTGGAGGCCCCTCGACTGTCCTCGGGTCCAGTATTGGACCACTTCGACCGGATATCCCCAGCCGATGTGGACAGACTCCTCCGAGCTGGAAAGCCCACCACCTGTCCTCTTGACCTGTGCCCGTCTTGGCTGATTAGAGCGTGTCCAGACGAGGTGCGGGCTCTCCTGGGGGATATCATCAATTTGTCCCTTGGCACGGGGACATTCCCAGGGGAACTGAAGGAGGCAGTGGTGCGCCCGCTCTTAAAGAAAACATCATTAGATCCTTTAGATCTATCCAATTACCGCCCGGTTTCGAATCTTCCGTTCCTGGGTAAGGTGATTGTGAGAGCGGTTGCTGAACAGCTTGGTGGGTTTCTGGATGAAACATCGGCTCTGGATCCATTCCAGTCCGGCTTCCGCGCTGGTCATGGGACCGAGACGGCTCTGGTTGCCCTAACAGATGATCTTCGTAGACAGCTGGATCGAGGCGGGTCGGGGCTGCTGATTCTTCTAGACTTGTCAGCAGCTTTTGACATGGTCGATCACGAACTTCTGGACCACCGCCTTGCCAACGTGGGGATCCAGGGCACAGTCCTTCAATGGCTGCGCTCGTTTCTCTCTGGTCGGGGACAGAGGGTGGCGCTTGGGGGGGAATTGTCATCGCGCCACTCCTTGGTGTGTGGAGTGCCTCAGGGTGCGATTCTCTCCCCGATGCTTTTTAACATCTTTATGCGCCCCCTCGCCCAGCTTGTCCGGAGTTTTGGGCTGGGCTGCCATCAGTATGCTGATGACACCCAACTCTATCTGCTGATGGATGGCCATCCTGACTCGGCCCCAGACACACTGATCAGATGCTTGGAAGCTGTGGCTGGATGGTTACGTGGGAGCCGGTTGAAGTTAAATCCTTCGAAGACAGAGGTCCTCTGGCTGGGACGGGATGATATGGGAATGAGGGGGCAACTCCCATCTCTTGTGGGGGTGCAATTAGTGCCAGCACCGTCCGTTAAGAGTTTGGGTGTAATCTTCGATACCTCCCTCTCCATGGAGGCGCAGATTGCAGCTATTACAAAGGCGGCATTTTTTCATCTCCGCCAAGCTAAGCAGTTGGCTCCTTACCTCTCTCGCCCTGACCTAGCCACTGTGATCCACGCGACGGTCACCTCCAGACTGGATTATTGTAACTCGCTCTACGGGGGGCTGCCCTTGAGACTGACCCAAAAACTCCAGCGGGTGCAGAATGCCGCAGCGAGACTCCTTACGGGGTCTTCGCTTAGAGATCACATTCATCCGGTGCTATACCAGTTGCACTGGCTCCCGGTGGAGTACAGGATCAGGTTTAAGGTGCTGGTTTTAACCTTCAAAGCCCTATACGGCCTAGGGCCCTCGTACCTACGGGACCGCCTCTCCTGGTATGCCCCACAGAGGAACTTACGGTCTTCAAACAAAAACACCTTGAAGGTCCCATGCCACAGAGAGGTTAGGCTGGCCTCAACTAGAGCCAGGGCCTTTTCGGCTGCGGCTCCAACCTGGTGGAATGCTCTGTCACAAGAGACAAGGGCCCTGCAGGACTTGACATCTTTCCGTAGGGCCTGCAAGATAGAGTTGTTCCGCCAGGCATTTGGTTAGGGCGCAGCCTGACTCCCTCCTTTGGCAACCTTTACAAAACTTTATGGCTGCCATCAATCTTGATTTTAATTAATTTTTATAATGTTTTTATAATGTCGCACTATTTGGTGTTGTTAGCCGCCCTGAGCCCTGCTTCGGCTGGGGAGGGCGGGATATAAATAAAATTTATTATTATTATTATTATTATAATGTCAGACGCCTCCAATGGGGTGAATTGGAGTACTTAGTCTTAGAAGACATCATTGATATAGTGGGCATAATGGAAAGCTAGTAGAATGGAAAGAGCCAGTGAGAAACAATTACCTCAGAATATAATCTCCGTAGGAAGGAAAGAGAATGGCAGAGTTGCTTTGTATAACAAAGAGGTCACTGAGTCCAGTCAACTAGAAATCCCAGAACAGGGATATAGCTTAGTCCAGGTAGTTTAGTCTCAGTGATGTACACACTGGAAGTTTTCCAGATAGAGATAATGTGCTCTATGTTGTCCAAAAGCTGCAAAATGCTATGATTTGGTTTCAGGCAGGCACAGTTTGGTGACATTACTCCAATTCTGAAGGTGATAAAGGTAGGGACACAAAACATAGCATTTTCTGTTACAACACTTCTCAATAACATCATGCCAAGGATAATTTGATCCAGTCCTATATTTCTATGGCCATTAAATAGTTATATTATACTAATGTCTTTAGATGGCAATTGAAAACAGAACAAATAGGCATTTGAAAATAGAATTTTGTGATCCGTTTTGTTGTATTGCTGATAAGGTAGGGGAAAGAAGGCTAAATAACTAGATAAAATAATATAAATTATCATTATAATATAAATTATGAAGACTACAGCTCTGAACTCATTCTTGATCCAGGAGACATGGTACCTTACTTGTTGATGTATATTTGATATGCCAACATAATGCTGAGCACCTGAATAAATGATTAATTTATGAAGTACTGGACTCCAGTACTGTAATGTTCAAAACCAACAACAATAAACAACTTAATAAGAAGAAGAAATGTGCATGATGTAATAGAAATACTATTACAAAGTGTAGAAAATAAATATAACAAAATGCAAATCTTTCCATAGTGCAGTGACTAAGAACTACCAGCACATCCTGGCCTTGGTGTTTGCTATAAACGAGATCAATGAAAACCCTAAGATCCTACCAAATGTCACCCTGGGATTTCATATGTATGACATCTATTCCAATGCTGCATTCACCTATCATGCTACAATGAAACTTCTTTCAACAAGAGACAGATTTATCCCCAACTATAAATGTGACTTCCAAGATCATCTTCTTTCAGTCATTGGGGCACTTCACTCAGAAATGTCTCACCACATAGCTAATGTTTTGAGTATCTACAAGATTCCACAGGTAGGATGTGTGTGCGGAGTTTAGAAATGTATGGTCGTTTTTAACCATTTTTCTTTTTTACCACATGTGGCCTAATATTTGAGAGACAGGGAAAGGTACATTTCATGTAAACATGTAGACCTTACCATTTATAGGAATGCCATATGCAGATATGTAGCATGCCATATGTAGTATAAACACCAGCAACTGGGAAACACCCGCCTGTGAGCGCTCCAGTTGGAGAACAGCCTTTACCAAAGGTGTCATGGGTTTTGAAGATGCTTGAACTCAGAACGCAAGGGAGAAATGTGCTAAGAGGAAGGCATGCTTGGCACACCCTCGCCATGATCAACTCCCATCTGGAGACCAATGTCTCCACTGTGGAAGGACATGGGGATCCAGAATTGGTCTCCACAATCACTTACAGACCAACTGTTAAAACCGTGTTTATGGAAGACAATCTTACTTGGCTACGAGTGATCGCAGAAGAAGAAGAAGAAGAAGAAGAAGAAGAAGAAGAAGAAGAAGAAGAAGAAGAAGAAGATATGCAGATAAGGGAAAACAGTACTTATAAATAGTGGAGGAAAAGGCAAAAATATTCTTTTAGGCCATATACATGTGAAGTTATTCAAAAGAGCTTAAAGTTCTTTAGGCCCATTAATTATTCTATTGTTCATTGTGAGGGACATTTCAAACATTCCTGGATCCAATTGCTATCCTTTTGCATTTGGATCTCACATTCTCCTTTATAAACTTTTAGAAGGAAGCCAGTGTGGTGTAGTGGTAAAGAGCGGTGGACTCATAATCTGGGGAACCGGGTTCGCATCTCCGCTCCTCCACATGCAGCTGCTGGGTGACCTTAGGCTAGTCACACTTCTTTGAAGCCTCTCAGCCCCACTCACCTCACAGAGTGTTTGTTGTGGGGGAGGAAGGGAAAGGAGAATGTTAGCCGCTTTGAGACTCCTTCGGGTAGTGATAAAGTGGGATATCAAATCCAAACTCTTCTTCTTCTGCTGCTGCTGCTGAGTAATTACAGTGCTCAGTACAATTCTGTTCTGGTTTGGGATCACAACTTTCACTGCCATAGCCCTACTCTTACAAAGAAGGACATTTTATTTAGTGACAAAGAAGAAATGTCCAAATGTTAATAATAACCACAAGGATGCTGTCAAGGGTAACACCTTGACCTCCAAATATGTAAGAATTGGTTTTATTACGCTTGGGTATATGTGATGTTATATACATTAATATCTATAGTGAACCTCATATAAGACCAATTACCTAATTGATCCACTGACCAGTCATTTTATTTTAAAAATTAAAAAATGGAAACCTGAGTATACCCAAAGGAGCGTCTCCACCCCCACTGTTCAGCCCAGACACTGAGTTCCTCATTCGAAGGTCTTCTGGCACCTTTTTCACTGCAAATAGTGACGTTAGAAGGAACCAGGCAGAGGGCCTTCTTGGCAGTGGTGCTTTCCCTGTGGAACGCCCTCCCATCAGATGTCAAGGAGATAAAGAACCACACAACTTTTAGAAGACATCTGAGGGCAGCCCTGTATTAGGAAGTTTTTAATGTTTGACATTTTATTTATTTTGTATATGTGCTGGAAGCCACCAAGAGTTGTTTATTGTTATTATCAGAAGGAACTACACATGACATCTAATTGGTGATGTACGCAAAATCTGAATAAGGGCCTCCTAGTTTCCCATTGTCCTGGTGTCTTGACTACTTTTTGCCCACATTTGCTATTAAATAGAAATAATGTAACCCATTTGAATGACATAATCAAGCCATCCTATCCCCCCACCCATTTAGTAATGTAGTAAACTCATTCAAAACATTTTTATAGTCTAACCTGAAATGGGGAAGGGGCTCTTTAATCTAGCCACAAATCATTTCTCCTCCTTGATTATGATGGTACTCCTCCAGCCTATAAGAGTGAGGTCTAATGCAAGAGCAGCAGGAAGAACACAAATTTTCCTGTTTCTCCATTAAGAAAAAGAAGTATACCTGTTCATACTCCCAAAATTATGACTTAAATCTTTAACATCATGCCAGAATATAAAATTTCGTATCTCAAAACCAAGCAAATAAGTGTACTAACAGATTCATTAAAGAACAGTGGCTTTTGGAATGAAACAGTCTGCCCAGAACTGATAAGCCAATTGAAGCATACAGTGTACTTAAAAAAAAACCAAAAAAAAAACACCTTTGTCCGAATTTAATCTATTTGAGATAGCATTGAAAGGAATGAATACATGTTTTCTTTTAATATATATAAAAATATTTTTTTGGTTTTCTACCCACTCCACTTCCAATAAACCTTTAGCTTTTGTATGGTTCCACTCCTTGGAGGACATATATCACTGAATTCCTTTCATCCTATCGGATGGTCCCAAATGATAGCATTCAGTTTCTGGGGATTCTCCAGTTACTCATCCATTTCAAATGGATATGGATTGGATTCATTGCTGATGACAATGATAAAGTAGAAATGTTTCTGCAACACATGCTTCCCTTATTATCCCAGAGTGGCATATGTTTAGCCTTTGTCGAAACGTGTCCCCAAAATTTCAGCTTTGATGATGAGAATGGAGACATAATAAAAAAAGCAGCTGAAATGTTTGACAGAGTTATGAGCAGCACAGCCAATGCATTTGTCTGCTATGGAGAAGCAGATTCCATAATATTTTTGAGATGGGTGCTATATCTACCAGAAGTGGAAGTTACAACACAAATGCCAAGAGGTATAGTCTGGATCCTGACAGCACAGATAGAGTTCAAATCATTTTCCTACCAACGTGATTGGGATATCCAAGCCTTCCATGGTGCTATATCTTTTTCAATTCACTCCAATGAGGTACAGGGATTCAGAAAATTTCTTCAGGGCAGAAACCCTCCCAGCACAGCAGATGATGGTTTTATCAGAGATTTCTGGGAACAGGCATTTGGCTGTGTATTCCCAAGCTCTGCTTTGGATGATGTGGTGGGTGATATCTGTACTGGAGACGAGAGTCTGGAGAACCTTCCTGGGCCTTTTTTTGAAATGAGCATGACTGGTCACAGCTACTGTATCTACAATGCTGTCTATGCAGTGGCCCATGCGCTGCATATGCTTTCATCCACATCCAAACACAGAACAATGGCAGAGGGAGAAAGAAAGAAACTTCAAAAGAATCAACCATGGCAGGTAGTGGCTGGCAATGTCATTTCCTTGCATTTTCTGTATTTGCCTGCACTTTTCCTAGTGACCTATGCTATTCTCTAATCCAGATGAAGCTGTATACAGAAGAGTTGGTGATAATAGTCCTCACAGTGCCATGGACAACTCTCATAATAATTTCCTGGGTGCTGCTGTTCATAGGTTTTACATGGGATGTACATAGAGCAAGGACTTAGGGATGGAAAACTAGGTATAGTGTTGTTGCAAAGAGTGTAAGTCAGGGATGGGGAAACTGGCACTCTAGAGGTTGTTGGATTCCAGCTTGTGAGATTCCTGGCCATTAGTAATGCTGGTTGCAGCTAATCTTATTTGAAGCCCAACAACGTGAGCGAGCTGAAAATGGGAACTATATAGCCCAATATACATTGCCCCACACCCAGAATGAAGAGTTGACAATAATAACTGGTAGAGAGGTTCATTTCATTCATTATATTTCTATGCCACTTTTTACTCACCATGTCTTGTTATGTTTACCTTCTTACAGTAAATGCCAAATAAACCAAACAGGTAAATAAGAACTCAGGTCACTACAAGCCTATTTAATTAAGAAAATGAACATGAAATGCCCAGTCAAAATGTACCCCAAAAAGTAGCATAAGGAAGCATTTGTGGAAGGCACTACCTTTTAAGGACAGCTCGCTCCCCCAGCTACTCCCTCAAATGTTATGTGGTGAAGTCCTTAACTGTATTTGCTTGGTTGTAAGTTGCAAAGGATGTGGGTGGTTCTGTCGGTTAAACCACAGAGCCTAGGACTTGCCAATCAGAAGGTTGGTGGTTCGAATCCCCGTGATGGGGTGAGCTCCCATTGCTCAGTCCCTGCTCCTGCCAACCTAGCAGTTTGAAAGCACGTCATAGTGCAAGTAGATAAATAGGTACCGCTCCAGTGGGAAGGTAAACAGCATTTCTGTGTGCTGCTCTGGTTCGCCAGAAGTGGCTTAGTCATGCTGGCCACATGACCTGGAAGCCGTATGCCAGTTCCCTCAGCCAATAAAGTGAGATGAGCGCCGCAACCCAGAGTCATCCGCAACTGGACCTAATGGTCAGGGGTCCCTTTACCTTTAAGTTGCAAAGAAACCCATCTGGTCCTGTCTATGCTTTTTGGCGCATGGGTGAATTTGAAAATGTTCTATATTCCCTCTCTGCTTCTCTTAAAGTTTGTTTTTAATTTAATATTTTCCTTAACTTTGGAAAAGGTGATTTACTGCAATGAAAAAGTGTGGATTATTATATACGTGTTATTTACTGTTTAAGAGAGAAAGGTTTGGCTTCTTTTTGTACATTAACACCATTTTATTAAATGTCAGTATTTTCCTTTTCAATCTAGGTCCACCACTTTCTCAAACAAGTCTCATTTAACAACAGTGCTGGGGATGTGGTTTCCTTTGACCAAAATCGGGTATTAGTGTCAGGATTTGATATTGTAAACTGGGTCACATTCCCAAACAAATCTTTTGTTAGAGTGAAAGTTGGAAAGATTCATTTCAAAGCTCCAAGTGAAGACCAAGCAATCACCATTAAAGAAGATGCCATTGTGTGGCACAGATGTTTTAATGAGGTAGGATTTAAATACAATAGTTAATGAAGTAACCTCATTTTGAATTTTCACAGGGACACCAAAGAAACTTTTCACATATGAAATGCTCTGTTGTGTATAGCCATTTGGTGCACAGAAACGCCATCACCAACCACAAAATTGCCACTGGAACTGTAGATGCCTCTTCTAGCTCTCCCTTCTCTTTCCAGGAAGCAATTAAATGGCAATATTTTAAGACTTACAATACATGACACACAATGAGAAAGGGTATCATATAACTGCCTAGACAATGAATGGACTGTGTATCCCCATCACTGTGTACTTCATGAGATGCAAGTCTTGATTACTGCAATACATTCTATGTGGTGGTATCTTGGTGTCTAGCTTGGGTCTGGTTTTGACCTATAAATGGCTCACCTCAAGACCTTCTTTTCCCATATAAACTGACCAAGACTGTGAACATCATCTGAGGCCCTTCTTCATGTGCCTCAACCACAAGGAGTCGGAAAGTAGCAACAGGAGAATGAGCACTTTCTGCAGTGGCTCCATGTTTGGCAAATGTTCTCCCAGGGAGGTTTGTCTGGCACTTTCATTATATATCTTTAGGTGTCAGGCAATAAGGTTTCTCTTCAACAAGGTATTTGGCTGATTAACAGTCAATGTTGTTTTAGATGTTGGGGGGTGGAGGTTATTGATTTATGTTGTTCTTCTTGTTTTCATTATGTACTTTGTGATTTTATTCTGTACTTTTATGTTGTGAACTTTCCTCAGATCTTCAGATGAAAGACGGTATCCAAATTTAATTAATAAATAAAGTAAATTATATAAATAAATAGATGTATATCAATGGGTAACTTCCACACTATAGGATATAACGAGGGGCAATTGTTGCACTTTACAATGTTCAATTTTTCTCCATATTCTATTTGAATCATGCTAAGCTTGCTTAACAAACAACTGGCATTAAAGTGACACAAACATTAACACCCTCTTATTTCCTTGATGCATTAGACATATCCTATTTCTGTATGCACTGATTCCTGCTTTCCCGGTTATAGCAAGAAAAAGAAGGAAGGGGAGCCATTCTGCTGCTATGATTGCTTTCCATGTCCAGAAGGGAGGATATCTGATAAGAATGGTGAGAATGATTTTGTAGAGTACTATCAAAAATGTGTACATAATTCAGGGAAATATTATTTCCTCTTTTCTTCCAGACATGGCTGAATGTTTTCAATGCCAAGAAGATCATTATCCAAGCAAGGATAAAAAGACATGCATTCCTAAGCTTGTAACCTTTTTGTCATATGAAGAACCTTTGGGGATCAGTTTAGCTACTGGTGCTCTTTCATGTTCTTTGATCATAGCTCTGGTGCTAGGCATTTTTGCAAAGCACTATGACACTCCCATTGTCAAAGCCAACAACCGTTCTCTCACCTACATTCTCCTCATCTCTCTTTTGCTCTGTTTCCTGTCTGCATTGCTATTCATTGGACGACCTGAGAAGATAATGTGTCTCCTCCGACAAACTGCTTTTGCCATCATCTTCTCAGTGGCTGTATCTTGCATGCTGGCAAAAACCATGACTGTGGTTCTGGCTTTCATGGCCACCAAGCCAGGATCCAGGATGAGGAAGTGGGTGGGCAGAAAACTGTCCACCTCTGTTGTAATTTCTTGCTCCTTTATCCAAACAATGATTTGTATTACATGGTTGGCAATCTCTCCCCCATTCCCAAATGTTGACAAACATTCAACGACTAATGAAATTGTATTGGAATGTAATGAGGGTTCAAGTACCATGTTTTTCTGTGCTTTGGGCTACCTGGGTTTCCTGGCACTTGCCAGCTTCACTGTGGCTTTCCATGCCAGGAAGCTACCAGATAGTTTCAATGAAGCCAAGTTCATCACTTTCAGCATGTTAGGGTTTTGCAGTGTTTGGTTCTCCTTTGTTCCAACTTACCTGAGTTCCAAGGGAAAATATACGGTAGCTGTGCAGATCTTCTCAATCTTAGCCTCCAGTAGCGGGGTAATGGGCTGCATCTTTTCCCCAAAATGTTACATCATTGTAATAAGGCCTCATTTGAACAAAAGGGAACTACTAATCAGCAAAAATTTCAAATAATCAGATATTGTAACAAAAGTTTTCATCAATGCCTACATGGGCTGGATTTTCTGTTTGAATTATCCTAGCCTGCAACTGCACCATATTGCTGTTTCCTACACAATACGGTATCAAAAAAGAATTTGGGGAACTTCAACAGGAGGAGGAAGAAGAGGAAGAAAAAGAGGAGAAAGAAGAGGAGGATGAATGGATGAATGAATGAATGAATGAATGAAACCTGAAGTGGCCCATGCAGAACTGTATAAACATCTTAATACACTATAATCAATCTTAAAGTGCTAAATTGGAATATATATGGACTAAATAATAAGACTAAAAGAAATAGAGTAACACACACATATTGGCAAAACAAAAAGCTAGATATGTTCACACTGATGAACAGGGTAGAATGAATAGCCTAGGCAGCTTAAAATGGGGTGGATGCCTTCCGACTTGCTTTTATGCGTTCAGAGTGTATAAAAAGCATGACAATATTATAGGGCAGGGGTGGGGAACATGTGACCCTATAGATGTTGTCAAACTATAACTTCTTTAACTTCTGGCCTTTGTCCATGCTGGCTAGGTCTAATGAAATATGAGGTCCAACATTTCCAGAAACCACAGAGGGAAGAGTCAGACTCAGAAACTGAACTAAGTGAACGAGGGACTGACTCTGCAGATGAGAGCTGGCTGACAGAGTCAAGAAAGGGCAGTTTGACATACACCCCTTCCCAGGGAAGGCTGTTAGCTCTCAAGAAGAGGAAGGGTTAGAATGCAGCCAGAGCACTGCTAGGCAATCAGCAAATAAGCAGAGGTCTGAGACTGTGTCAAGTGGAAGTGGGGAGGCAAGAGGCCAGCATCTCAGTCCCCATTCTAGGAGTCTGGATAAGATCAGAGGGCAACAGAAGGGAAAAGGTGGAAAGACAGGAATTTGGCATCCTTCCTGCTGTGGGAGGGGCGAAGATTCAGATTGACCAACTATCATCAATGCGAGCAGGTAAGAAACCATGCTCTGGATGTTTTTTTGGGTTTTTTTTGTAAATAAACATACATAAAACTGCCAGAGTCATTACTTCTTATCGGGGCTTGCTTGCCAGCCTATTCCCCCCATTTTTCTGTTGCCCTCAATTTTTTTTCAGAAAAAAAATTAAAATGGAAAATTAAAAAGGTCCATTCCTTATCTTCTTCAGTCCCCCCCCCAATACCTTCACATCTCTTGCTGTGATACTGTCTCTGAATATGTTCCCAGATATTGATCATTTTTGTTATGTGCATAGTCTAGTTAAGTTTCTCATGACTCACAAGAGTTAGGTCTTGATTTTTCTGCAATGTTTTCTGGTGGAGTTTTATTTCCTGTTCATGTATTCTTTGTCATTCTACTAAAGATGTGGCAAACATAATTTCAGCAGCACTGTAATTAAATCTCAATTTTAGTCATTGATTGTCTGCCCTGTAATAAAAAAAAACAAAACCTATAATTAATCTTGCCAAAACCTCTAGAGAGTTCTAGTGGTTGCTAGCAAAATTAATACCTATGTCTATGAAGGATGTTATATAAAAGTGCCCCAAGGAATTCTGAGTTGGAACTGAAGATTAGAGGGAGCTGTGACCCCACCAATCTGTTCTTTTATATAATTAAGCCCTCCTCAATGTCTCTGCAAATATCTAACCTCATTTACTGCTGGCAAAAAGCTCGGAAACCAATCAAGGGATTCCTCGGGTTCATTTTCAGCAATGTGACTTCTTAAAAGGAAAACCTGAGGCAAAACTGAAGTTTGCAGCAGGATGCTTTTATTAGTGGCATTGGCACTGTTGCTGCTGCCACACACCATCAGTGATCGTCTTCCAATTCTTCAGAAATATTATCAACCAGGAGACTTCATTGTTGGTGGAATTGTGTCACATTCACTTATCCTTTCAGAGCTGACTTCCTTCAAACACCATCCCAATGAGGCAGTGATTGAAGAGTCTGTGTAAGTCCCCCCACAATATACTTCATACAATTGTACAACTGCATGCTCCAAATTTTATTAATATCAGTTCAGTCTGGTGAATTATTTTAATTTATTTTTAAATCCTCAAAATGCTTGTGAATATTGTCGAATCTTCTCCAAACTGTTTAGTTTTCAGTTGCAATGAAGTATTTTTTTAGATAGTTTACAATATTGTCAGAACACTTTACTCAATATGCAGAAAGGCAGGAGCAAACGTTTACTGCACAGAGATAAACAACAACTACCTTCTCTGAATTTTCAGCCTCTGGTTGTTTGGGCATGTCCTACACAGTACATGTGACACCACAGACACACATATGATCTAGAGTCTATATTCTACCACACTATACATTGGAAATTTCTTTGGGGCAAAATGTATCCTTTTAAAAAAATAAAATATGATTTTGTTTTGACATTGAATTAAGGTTAAATGATAGGACACCCTTCCTCTTTTATATTTATTATAATCCAGGGGACCTAAAACACCCCCAAGTCCTTCAGAAGACGTTCTTCGGATTAATGATGGACTAGTATGTCATGCATAAGGTTTTAAATCTAAAATTGTTACTTACTTGAAGAAGTACAATACTCACATATATACAAGGCATTTTTCAATAACTGCTGTATATCAGATATGTCGGAATGGATAAATTTGTTAATATTCTCTCTCTCTATTCCTCATTTTTCCCCATCTTAAGTTTAGCTCTCCACATTTCCACTCATTTGTGTGTATTTTTTAAAAAAGAAAAGGGCCCTCATGAAAACTCATCAGTGCAATTTTTCTTAACATACAGGTTTGTATGCAATTTCACTAAGAAACTCATTTTTGCAGACCAATTTACCTTAATAAAATGCCTTTGTGTCCATTATTTTCACTAATAAATGAATTTTAATGCACACTTTACCCCTGTAGATTCATTTTTGAACACATTACTTGACTGCAGAAATGCATTCAACTTTAAACGTGGATAAAATTTCTTTTCACTGCTAGTAATATGAGCTCAGAAACACTTGTTCATGTATCTCTATTTATTGATGTAGTTGTTACCATTTTAAAAATATATTTAAAAGCAATATACATTTCACACTATAAAGGCTAATTCAGAATTCTTAATTCTTGGGCAGACTAAAAATAAAAAGTTTTTTGTGAATTTTGAATACTTTTAAATATTAACTTCAGCTCTGTGGTGGTAAATGAACTTTATTGGTAGAACTCATGTTAGAAATATGCTTCTCTGTAGACAGATAGAATAGTGGCCATTCATCATGGAAAACTTGGGAATGTAGCTGAAAGGATGTACAGCTCATTCTGAAACTTTCTGCAGACTTCTAGGGATTATTATTAATTATAATATTTATTAAATTTTTATAACACCCTTCATCTACATAATACAACCAAAACACAAACAAATCTATAGCATTCGTTTTTATTGCATGTAATAATAATAACAATCTGTTTGATATTGTATGGTGAAATGAGCATTGCATTTTGAATCAGGACCTCCTGATCAAGAATAGCATGAATAGAATTTGGCATAGTGACACCACATGCAACTCTCATTGCAGTGTACTGACTAAGAACTACCAACATGTCCTGGCCTTGGCATTTGCCGTAAAGCAAATCAACGAAAACAGCCACCTCCTACCTAATGTCACGTTGGGCTTCCATATCTACGACACCACTTTCAATACAAAGCAGACCTATCATGCCACCTTAAAACTTCTGAGCACAAGCAGAAGGCTTATCCCCAACTACAAATGTGACACCTGGAACAATCTGGTTGCAGTCATTGGGGGACTTGAATCTGAAACGTCTCTTCATATTGCTACCATCATACAGATCTATAATATTCCACAGGTAGGCAGTGCACATATACAATTGAATTTAAGAAGTGTCTTGTTGTTGATCTATCGACAAGTATGGTTATGTGAGTAATCAGGGAGATCTTGATATCTTTTTGCAATCCATCGGGGACCTGAGTCTGAAACTTCTCTCCAAATCACCACCACTATAATATTTCATATGAAGGCAATATACACGTACACTTGCTGGTTTGAGACATCTGGGGTGTATATGTAATAATCAGGCAGATCTTGATATGGATTGAATTAAGGGCTACAACTTTACCTTAAACAATTTGCGAAATATTATACAAAGTGCTTTTGTTGCTGTGCTCCTAATGTAAATTGCCTGGTTTTTCTATGTTAAGGGATAAGGGCTCCTCCCCATGATCTGTTTATTCGGCATTCATCCTTTGGTTGCACAAGGCTTACTTGGTTGCTAGATTATATCCAGGCTTTATTGACCATTTGTTCTTATTTATTTTTGAGGTTGTTATGTTTTTGTTCTTAGCACCCTGGTAACTCTCATTGTGGTATAAAAATATGTGGAGTTTAGCACTAGCTGAAAAAATGGAAAATCATAAATTATGTGTTACCAAAGGCTTGGAGCATCCTGAAAAATGTTAGGAGGGATTTTATTATATATAAAACAGATACAGAAACACAGGGCTCCCTCTCCATGGTACAATGCGAAATTTGACTTTCTTAATGGTATAAATTACTTTACTTACCTGTTTTAAGTCTTCCCATATATATTTTTTGCTTCTTTGTGAGGGTGTTTGTACTTCTGTAATTTTTCTTGTATTGATTTGTACTTCTGTAATTTTTTTGTATTGCTTTGTTTGACTTACTTAGAAAAGGCTAGTTAGATTGGACTCAATCTTACAGAAGACATGTTGTTTTTCTTCAGCATGATTTCTTCTATATGTTTGGTGATTTGGGGTAATTCTGCTTTTCATACTCCTTTCCACCATTTCCCCCAAAACAGACATTAAGTTAAGCAGCCTATAATTTCTTTGATCTGTAGCTACAGATCACTTTTTAAAGAATTGATGTTACACTGTCTACTTTACGACCACAGGTAGAGAATGGAGGTTGATTTTAGGGACAAATTACATGTGTTGCTATATCTTGTTTTCACATGAATATATGATTCCTGCCTCCTAATATAAGCTGCATTTTTGTTTAATACTGCACAGCCTGACTGTGACTTTTTCAACCTATGATGAATTTGAAGAGATGGGGATATAAAAAATGATTAGGATGGTTCTAACAATATTTAGTTTGCACATAATTTATGCAAAGGGAACATGAATTTGGAGGTTGCTTCTGAATAGAAATGTCTGAGAAATTTGGGGAAAATTTCAATGAATCAGATCAGCAAAATGTATTGCACATGTGTGTGTGTGTGTGTGTGTGTGCACATTTCTAAAAAATAAATAAAGGTAGATTGTAAATCTTTCATAAACAAAAAGATTGACAATTGCAATACAGTTGATAAAATGGCATAAGAAGATATATGTACTAAGTATCCTCTCATTCAAAATAGATACCATGTACTAATCAACACCTTCATGTCCCCCAAAGGATAAATTGTTAATTATTTATTGTTCTTTAGTGTTTATTGATGAACTTATTTATTTATATCATGAAATTTATGGGGTACTTGATTGATTTTCGAAAGTAGCTAGCAAAATTTTCATCCAATCTAATGCCTCCCTCACTTAATCATTATCTTTATAAACTATGAAGATTGTCAGCTATTTCAGTGATTATGCAGGTGCTCTATCAAGATATAGGTGTTACCTCCACAACTACAAACCCCTGTGGCAACAAATTAGCAATGACCTGAGGAGATGGAACAATACTATCTTCACTGTCTTAGATAAGCTAGCCATGATCAAAATGATCACCCTTCCAAAATGAACCTACCTCCCCCGTCTTTCTTCTTCTTCCCCAACATTATTCTGTATACAGCACCAATGTCTCACATCATATGTATCTGATATATAGACTTTACAACCCGAGAAAAGAGACAATGCACATACTTTTGTAAACTAATAAAATCTTTAATATATTTTTTTAAAGAAAAGATACAGGTGTTCTAAGCAGTCACTATTATTACAAGGTTATTATTATTGTTGTACTTGCATTTTGCCTAACAAGTCACCAGTCCTGGGTGGGAAGCATTAGCGTTACTTTAATTTGGCTTCAAACCAGGGTAATCACTTCCAACATTCACTCTGGGGACTTCTGGGCAAGAATTTTTTTTTTTCTTCAAAATATCACCCAGCAGCATTTCATAGCATTCAGTATAGGTTTAATCAATTTTAGTTAATATTAACTTTAAGACATTTAGAAGTCTACTCCTATCTTGCTTTAATAAACTTTGACAATTTTATTTCATTCTAAAAATCCATGTCTCTTTCTTTGCCTCTCCTCTGCCCTGATTTGAAATGTAGGTGACCTACGGCTCTGCTCCAGATATGAGTGATGAATTCAAGGGGCTTTCCTTCTACCAGATGGTCCCAAATGAAAACTTTCAGTACACAGGAATTCTGAAGTTACTTTTGCATTTCAGGTGGACATGGGTAGGAATCATTACTGTGGAAGATGACAATGGAGAAAGATTTGAGCAGACAATGCTTCCCATGCTTTGGAAGAATGGCATCTGTTTCGACTTTATAAAAAAAATTCCACAAATGACTTATTTCAATGATTATTTTAACTTGGCACAACTGATGTGGAAAACATTTGACATTGTAATGGAGAGTAAAGCCAACACGTTGGTCTTTCATGGAGAAATTGAGTCTCTTATATATATGAGATGGATGGGAAAATTTTCAGAGATGGGATACATGACAGTGAGGCCAAAGGGAAAAGTGTGGGTTATGACAGCACAGATGGATTTCATCTCATTTTATTTCCAAAGGAGTTGGGATATCCATATCATCCATGGTGCCTTATCTTTCACAGTGCACACAAATGAACCCCAAGGCTTCCAGCAATTTCTTCTGAGTAGAAGTCCTCTCTTGACAAAAGAAGATGGTTTCATCATGGACTTCTGGGAACAGGCATTCCTATGTCATTTCTCAGTGTTGAAGAAGATGTTTGATGAAACATGCACTGGGGAGGAGAGGCTGGAGAGCCTCCCTGATCCTGTTTTTGAAATGAGCATAACTGGCCACAGCTACAGTATCTACAATGCTGTCTATGCTGTGACCCATGCGCTGCATGCCATGCTTTCATTCAAGTCAAAACATAGAGTTATCGTGGACAGAGACAGAGAGAAGTTTCTGAATCAACAGCCTTGGCAGGTAATGTTTTGAGTTAATTCTTGCAGGATATTTTCATATTTCACTGCTTTGTGAAAATATTCATAGCCACAAATTTTAGGACATGTGTTTCAAACACTGTGTATGTGTGTGTGTGTGTGTGTGTGTGTGTGTTTATAGACAGATTGATAGATATGTACAGGTAAACAGTTATCATAGCTGATGTTGGCCCCACACATTAAAATGGATTTTGTTATGTAATAAATACCTGCATCTTTAAGACCCTATGCACCTCTGAACGATCTTCTCCCAAATATTGGGATATTTTAGCTTCTCTTGCTCCACCATTTCCAGCCCAAATTCTAGACAGTTGTGCTAAATTGGACAGAATGTCTGTTAATTCTATGGAGAGGAGACTTCTGGGTCTGTCGCAGGCAATGGCGGATGGCAGAAATTGCTCGTTCCGAGCGATCTGATTGCTGTGAGGAGAAAAGAAGGTTGTGAAGACAATGCACCTTCTCGAAAAATCCCCCCCAAAACCCAAAGTAAAACCTTTGGGTTCCAGAGGGTCCTGCAGTGTCAGTGAACACTCTCATAGAGTTTTCAAAGCTCCAGAGGGAGCTGAAAGGGCTCCATGATTGAGCGCAGACACACATCAAGAACAAGACCACACAGCAAGAAGCCTCGAGATCTGTCATCAAAACAGCAGCCTCTCTACAATAAAAGGATCAGGAACCAAATTGAAAGGTAAAGAATATATGAATTTTTGATTATGAGATAATTGGGGACACATCAGGGAGGAAAAAAGGAGGTCCCCCGCCTGGACACAGGTACAGAATTGCATAAAATAAAATCTGCAGGTAAAATAAAGAATAAATATATACCCATTAATGTCTTAGAACAGAAGCATACCAGTAAATGAACTGAGTTAAGACTGTTAAAAGTTGAGAACTGGATGCTTTTTTAAATTTTATTTTTGAGAGTATCTTCCAGCAGGTCCACCAATTTGCAAATGGACTTAAGTTATTTTGAGTAGTAGGAAGAACAAAAGAGGGCCTGGCTTTTATGATTTATAGAACTGAGTTTTATGAAGATTTTTTTTCCTATATATATATATGGGGGGGGGGATCTTCATAAACCTCAGTTCTTAGCAGGCCTACTCAGAATTAAATATATCTAATTTTTAATAAATTTTCTGTTTTACAATTTAAAATGCTCATTTAAACTTCCTTAAAATATCAGTGACTTCCCTTCTTCTCTTTCCATGGTTTATTTTGCATATCATAAATCCCCGCATATTTTACAAAAACTAAACCAATCAGTATTCCATTATTACATCCATCAAAATTTATTCACACTGTTTTCAAGTGTATGTATGTTCTTGTTCTCTTATTCTATATGTTAAGTCTGCAAGCTGCACATATTCTATCAGCTTAAGTTGCCATTCTTCTTTAGTCGCCATTTGGGGGCTAACAAAACACAGGACACAGTAGTGGCATACATAAATAACCTTTTTTGACACCTGGGAATTTCCATCCGAATTATCCCCAACAAAAAGGACTCTGTTTTTTTCCGGAAAGGTACTTTTAAACATTTTTTACAGTTCATTATGGATTATTTCCCAATACTCTTTTACCCTTTTACAAGTCCACCACATGTGAAACAACGTCCCCTCAACCTCATTGCATCTCCAGCACTTATCTGATTCAATCTTATACATCTTAGCAGGCCCACTCGGAGTTAAATGCCATCTGTAAATCGTTTTCAAGTAGTTCTCCTTCAAAGAATAACGTGCTGTAAATTTCAAATTGCTTTTCCAAAGTTTTTCCCAGAGGCTAAAATCTATATTATGTCCTTTATCTATTGTCGAGTGTGTCATAGCGGCTTTGACAAGCTCATCTTTTTTTCTTTTCCTTTGTTTTCCTTTTCTGTGTGATTCAAAAGAGATAGATATTGTGTATAGGTTTTAGAACTTTAATATCGGGAAGTGCTGGGATTATTTTCAAAAGCGTGAAAAAAAATATTTTTGGGGGGGAACTGACACTAAATAAAGTTTCTGAAGTTGTGGTTTTTCTTTTTGGCAGATACATTTGGTTTTGGTTTTTCCTCTTTTTGGATTTGTGTGGGTTTCGATTATATGGCTTTGTGAACTATCACTAAAAGATGGATTAATTGGTGGGCTAGTTGAAGAGGCTGAGGAAGGAAGGAGAGTTTTATTGGTTAAACATTTTAATCTTACCTACATGTGGTGGTCTTGCAATAAGGTTAAAGCTTACTGGGAAATGATAACTAATGTACTGAAAAAGATGCTTAAGACAGTGTTTCCCAACATGTTGCCTGGTGTGCCGCGGGAAAAATTAAAAAATTGAAAGTTTTTTTTTTAAAAAAAGTCAAATTTTCGATTGGGGCGCCGTCACTAGATGACCCCTGGGGTTCCCTCCCTCCCTCCCGCTCTGCGCCTCCCTCCTCCTCCTCCTCCTCCGGGGAGGCCCTTCCTGGCTCTCGGCCAAGGCTTGGCGGCTGCCACTCACTCACTCGCTCGCCCACCCGTCCCTCCATCCCTGCACCCGGCCTCTCCCCCTCCGTCCCCGGCGCGGAGGCTGCCGGGATCCATAGTCCCCTCGCCCTTGGGCTCCGCGCCCGCGCGGGGTGCACAAACTACGTTTCCCAGCGTGGCCTGGCGGGCCGGGCGTTTTGTTTGAAGCGCTCTTCTCCCGGCCATGGAATGAGCGCAGCGGCGGCGGCCGGGCGGGCAGGGGCTCTTCCGCGCAGACCCCGCGCAGCCTGCCTGCGCCCCCCGGAGATCGGGCGGCAGGATGGAGCCCGGGGATCCCCGCGGAGGCGGAGCGGCGGAGGCGGAGGCTGCCCCCCAGGTAGGGCTGCATCGGGGGTTTTTTATTTTTGCAATGCTGCATCCGCGCCGGAGGGGACGCATCGGACCGCGGGGAGACCCCTTGGCGGGCGTGCAAGGCAATGCATGCGTGCAGGCATTGCATGGAGTGCAGTGCAATGCAATGGCAACGCGGCGCCCTGCATGCATGCATGCAACTTCCACCGGCGCTCCGGACTTGGCAGGTGAGGGGGGTCCCCAGTGGGCGGCAGAGAGAGCCGGGAGGGCGAAGGGGAGCCGGGGGGGGGAGCAGCGCTGCTCCCCGAGCCGAGCCCGGGGGGAAACTTCGGCGTCGTTGCGCCGGGTGTTGGAAGCGGAGGCTGGCGGGGACCCCTCACCTGCAAAACCTGGTCGCCTCTCATATATTTCGTGCATTGCATTCATCGCCCGCTTTCTCCTCCAAGGAGCTCCCGGGGGCGCACGTGGTTCTCCCCGTGTTATCCTCGCAACAACAGCCCTGCGAGGTGGGTCAGGCGAGTGGCCCAAGGGAGCACCCAGGGATTGTCCTGGCCAGGTGGGGTGATTTGAACCCTGCTCTCTGCCTGGTCTTTGTCCTCATTTAGCCCCCACATGTGCATGACTGTGCATGACTGAGGTTTTCCCCCCTCGTCTTGGCTATGGTGTGAGTCTGTGCTGTTAATTAATGGGGTTCTGCCTTCGGAGAAGATGAGCCAGCCCTCAAGGAGGTGATTATGTAATTTGCTAGCAATTCATGTCCCTCCCGGCGTGACGCTGCGCGCTGACGTCACGGGGCTGTAATGGTGGTGTGCCTCGAGATTTTTTTCATGAAACAAGTGTGCCTTTGCCCAAAAAAGGTTGGGAAACACTGGCTTAAGATAACACTTATTTTAAAAAACAGAAGTTTTTCTTTTGGGAATTATGGGATCAGAACTACCTAAACTGTATAGAAATTTATTAAGACACATAACATGAGTATTATGGGGTATCAGCACTTTTTGTCATGCCCATGATACTGTCTTATGGCAGTCTACTCTGAAAGCTCTACTCTTGAAACATTAGAAATTCTAAGTAGACTATTCCAGCAGTCACATTGAAGAAGTGATGTTTGTACTGGTGGATTATGTCATGTCTGGGTGAATAATCATAGCCACAAAATAGCATGGACTTCCAATTCATGTACTTTTTCTCCTACATGGCTGCCATTGCTCCATTGTTGTGAGTTAATATTTAATAAATGACCTGGGTCTCTAGGAAATAATGGGACTTTGTTTTCTGGAAGGCCTAGAGGCCAGATAATAAGTACCAAAGTTTCAACAAAGCACAGGTAATGGGGAACACAGAGGTGACTGCTTTAATTTACTGTATCTTATTCAATGATTATGATTAGCATTTCATTTGTAAGTTGTTTATGTATATTATAAATCTTAATATTTCTGTCCTGAGCCTGTGAGGAAGATAACATAAATTCTATGTAGTTCTCACCAGAAGGTCATACTAATTATGTGTACCCTATAGGCATGTCAAACTTCTAAGCAAACCCTCTCTCAGGAAAATTGATTGGAGATGTTTTCCAGAAATAAGGTGTGTGGCAAATTCAAGCCCAATAGCAATGGTGTATGAAGAGAAGCTTAATAATTGGCTGCCATGGCAGGTAATGATTTCAGATAATTTATCTGGGATCTTTCAGTATAGCAAGAGGACCTAGTAGAAATAGGAAGTGGGTCCCTCCACAGTATGTTCACTTGCCTATCCAAAAAAGCTACAATACTTGGTGTGTGTGTGTGTGTGTGTGTGTGTGTGTGTGTGTGTATTTGAGTGGAATTCCTACAACTTCTGGAATCAGTTTGTTCCAACTTATTACATTCCTGCATTTCTCTTCTTCTGCACCATTTCCCCCCACAACCTAGCTCCACCACTTTTTACAGAGTATTTCATTCAACAACAGTGCTGGGGACAAAATTTCCTTTGATCACAATGGGGCCCTGGAAGCTGGATTTGACATTGTCAACTGGATCACATTCCCAAATCAATCCTTCCTCAGAGTGAAAGTTGGAAAAGTGAATCTCCAGACTCCCGTAAAAGAATTCACTATTAATGAGTCTACTATTACATGGCACATTGGATTTAACCAGGTATGATTTGAGGTTTGATCAGAGTTTTTCATGAGTAGAGGATTTCCCCCACTTCTGCTACTGTGAAGTGCTGTAAACAGGCTGAATGCAGTGCAGGAGAGTGAGAGACTTCATAGTGCACCTTTGTTCTCCCTCACACAAATGTTTATGCACAGGGCTCTGAATGCTCAGATAGGGATATACTTTACTACTATTTGAATGTGAGTACAACCATCCGCAGTGCTTTTTTCAAGAAAAAAAGTGCTGGTACTCTTTAACCACCCAACAGAGCTATCCAGGCTGATCACCATGAAGTTGTTACAGTAAGTGCCACACTTTTAACATTGGGGTGGAGGAAGGTGCCAGTACTGTGTGACCTTGACTACTCCCAGAAAAAAAGCACTGGCCATCCCTCCTTCAATACTATGAAGTCATGTTTTCCCACCCAAAGAGTGGTTGAGGGTGCTTCTGCTCAACAGGGCCATATATATCCAATTGATGTAAAGAGGTGATCACATTTACAGGGATGCTACCACCCACCCACTTCAATCTCACTTACCCTTGTAGGGGGCTAAATTGATTTTTAAAGGTTGGCCCTGATTACCTATTGATTGTTGTTGTTGCTGCTGCTGCTGCTGCTGCTGTTGATATTGTTATTATTCCAATCCATACATATGTTTATATCAAGGGTTTACTGCTACCGTTTACTGCTGCTTTATTGTTTGCTTTAAGGATTTGATTATTTGGTGATTCCTTGTCAATATATCTTAAGTAGATGAGGTAAGCACATTCAGGAAGCTTTGAGTGGGTTGTAACTGACTCTCCTCTCATTGACTGTCTAAAATTAGAGAGGGAATATTGTTTATAAGTATTTTAGTAACGAGAAGTCAAGAAGAGACTGTGAAATTAACCTTCAAATATATATTTAAAAAATTACAAAGAGGTTACATATGAAACAGCATGTATGTGGGGGGGATGTGATGGCCAAAACGGTTATGCATATTTTCATCTAATATAAATATAATCTTTACATGGTGTTATACCACTGTGTCTGTATCCTTTGCACACTGATAAAGCAATCCAAGAGAAAGAGGGAGAGAATATATGCAAACTAAGGGATTACATTTACAGTTAGGTCAACATGTGCCTCCGTTCTCATTATGACTATACCATAACAGCTACATCAATTTTGTTGTTATGGGAAAACAGAGAAATGAATGGAAAGAACACTAAAACAAACTGTTCTTGCTTCAATCTCAGAATTAGTTTTAGCAATTATCCTAATATATCCAAATTATGAGGAATGGAATACAGGTCAGAGCGAACCTGGGGAAAAATTAAATGAATGAATGAAGCTCATGATTTCTCTCATTCCCTTCTTTGATAACATTTTGGGCCAAGGTCCAATGTGTGTATAAAACTAGAGGTAGATTTCATTCATATTGCCTACAATCCTTAGTAAAGATTCAAATACCAAAGGTTTTCTAAAATCTCAATGCCTACTGTTGAACTACAGATTTACCGAGAAAATACAACTTCCTGCTGCTTATATTCTAAATGGTAACATCATTTTATTTATTTCTGGGTCAGACATTGCCTATTTCTGTGTGTACAGACAGTTGCCATTCTGGTTATCACAAAAAAAGAATAGAAGGGGTGCCATTTTGCTGCCATGATTGCATCCCATGTCCAGAAGGGAAGATTTCTAACCAGAAAGGTAAGGAGTATATGGACCTCATATGTTAGCTGTTTGCTCGTTTGTTTGTTGGATTCAATTTATGAATTGCTTCTCATAAAATATCAATAGTAAAATCAATTAAGAATAATCCCACATATAAAAGTCATTTTTTGAAATCTCATTGGAAAAACATTTTCAGGGTGAATCTCAGCAATATACAAAATGCAATTTGAAGGCATGTAGGGGTTGATAGGAAACTCGCTGACAAGCGATGACAAGAGATGAATAAGACTGGAAAGGGAAGGGCTGCATGTGGTGTTGCCCTCCCCCCCTGCGGCCCCCACGCCCCCACAGGCATGGGGGGGCAGCCAGAGGGGCCCCCGTTCCATCACCCAAAACCCTGGGGCATCAGGGCCTGCCTAGGGAAAAGGATCCCCTTTTAAAAAGGGGATCCTGAAATCTATTACCCCCCCCCCGCTATCCTTTGGGAACCCTTTTGGGGGGGGGAGGCCAAAGGCCCCAGGCTTACCTTTTGGAGTGAGGAAGTCCAGCAACATCCTTCCTGAAGAAGCTCTGGAGCCAAGTGAGGATTCCCAGGTAAGATCCTCCCTCTATTGTGTGGGCAGGTAATCCCTCCCCTACCTGGCCTGGTCTCCTTGGCAACGCTTCCCCCAGGTGGGATTGGACAACTGACTGAGGTAGGCGGAGACCTCCAGGTATCCCACCTGAGGGAAGGCAAACCAAGCCTATGCTGTTGGAGCCGCTCCAGATCTAGGGGCTGCGCGCATCCACGCAAAGGGCGCCCCCGTTTTAAGCGTGGAGCGGTCATTCCCAGTCAGATATGGAAGACCTAAGTGCACCATGAGTACTGATTGGTTCAGCAATGCTTGGGTACAGCATTGTGGCTAAGAAATGAAATATCCTCCCATTCATTTTGTTGCTGTTAAATGATTTTTATTAATTTTCAATTACCAAAATGCAATATGTTCCATATTATATTAATATCAAATAGCAATATCAATTCAAATACAAATCAATTACTTAGCCAATTATATTTTTTGTGTGGCTTCCCACATGCTGTACTTCAAGGTCTGATTCCCTTTAATTCTGCCTCCAGACTATTGCTCAAACCAAATACAATCCATTCTTGATAAAATCCCTTATACCACAGCTACAATAATTAACTCCAATTTACATTAACACATATAGTAATTTGTAAATTCGCAAGTGAAGTTCTCCTTTCTTCTTACTGTGTGAGGTTTTAATTTCCATCAATTGTTCCTGTATTTCTTTATCAAATATTATGTCCATATTAATCATTCCTGATCTCCTTTGTGTCTTACAGCTCTGTTGACTCTGGAGAGGTCTTTCTCTTTGTTCCCAACTCTTATGTTGCAGCTGTAAAATTCCACTTTCAATTTCAAGCAGGGAGTCACCCAACGTCCTGCCAAAGCCCTGGCAGGCCTCCAAGTTCTCCCCTCCACATCCAGTCGAAGCAATTAATTATAATTATCCGTAGAAGAATGATCTAGTTCCCCACCAGAGCCCCAGCAAGTCTTCAAAGTCCAGTCCCTCCTCCCCTCAATGAGGTGGCAAGTAAAAGAATTAACTCTGCAGAGGCTCCAAGCCCTTTTTATAATGATTCCAAACGTAATACAGTATTTTCCTCACACAGTCCCGTATGTCATTAGAATCAATATCCGTACTCCCATCTCCTTTCTTCTTCACTTGCTTTGAAGAACAAAGTTTTTTGACATTGTCAGGGGGGTTGCTGAGTCATTTATGTAACAAAGTATTTATAATGAAGTGATTGGCTCCCCCACAATTCATACCGTCTTGTTGCTCGAATGAAGTCATCTTCCAATTTAAATCTGTACAACCTTGTAGCTGTTTCAATTTGGCAGTCCTTAATCTTGTCCCATCATTAGCAGCACGCGTCTGTGCATTAATCCTAATTAATCTCTTAATGAACAGAAGAACCACTGCTCTTAATGGTGGCATTGGAGGGTGACCAAGAAGCGAAGTGCTTTTGCACTCAGAGTCTCCCTGCCACTCACCTCCATGTCAGAGCAAAAGGCAGGTAATGAGATGATCTGAGTAAAGCTCACATCCCCTGTTCCCTGGGGGAGGGGGGTTGCAAGGACAATTACTCTCAAATCATCCTTGTTTCATCTTTGCCAATGATCTCCGCTATCGTGAGAGCTGTGCCACTAAGGCAGCCGGAAGTCGGCACTGAAAATTCTTAAAACATTTCAAAGATGGGTCTCTCTCTCTCTCTCTCTCTCTCTCTCTCTCTCTCTCTCTCTCTCTCTCACACACACACACACACACACACACACATTTGCTACTGCAATGGCATTTCAGGACACTTTCACCCCATGATACAACTGATGAAATATTTCCACTCCCCCTTGCATCGGCTAATGGGACAACTTTAAGCCCATGGCATGGGCAAGATACCAGGCAAAACATGAGCCCAGTATTTTGCTGCAGCCTATGGGCCCCTGTGCTGCCAGGAAAAGGTATTGGACATGGAACAAGGCTTCCCCAAACCTGTGTTATAGGATAGAAACATTCTGCTTTCACATAGGCAGCAAAAGGGCCAGCCATTCAGATTGCAATATCAATTTAGCATCAGGAAATGTTTGGGAAGACTGACAGGGAATATTGTTTTTCAGACATGAACGACTGTTTCTGGTGCCCAGAAGATCGTCACCCAAATGAAGATCAGGATTTTTGCACTCCCAAAGCTGTAAGCTTCCTGGCTTTTGAAGAGCCCTTGGGAATCAGCTTAATCACTTGTGCTCTTTCATGTTCTTTAATCACAGCTCTTGTGCTCGTGGCATTTATGAAGTTTCATGACACTCCTATTGTCAAAGCTAACAACAGGAATCTTACCTACCTTCTCCTTCTCTCCCTCCTGCTCTGCCCCCTCTGTGTATTGCTCTTCATTGGCAGACCTTGGATACTGGGGTGTGTATTCCGACAAACTGCCTTTGGCATCATCTTCTCCATGGCTGTTTCTTCTGTATTGGCAAAATCTGTCACTGTGGTTCTGGCTTTCATGGCCACCAAGCCTGGTTCTAAAATGAGGAAATGGGTGGGGAAAAGACTAGCTAGCACCATTGTTCTTTCCTGCTCCCTTATACAAACAGGTATTTGTGCTATATGGCTGGCAACCTCTCCCCCATTCCCAGATGTTGACATGCATTCTGTGACTGAGGAAATTATACTAGAATGCAATGAAGGGTCTGTGACTATGTTTTACTGTGTCTTGGGGTACTTGGGTTTCCTGGCCATTGTTAGCTTCACTGTGGCTTTCTTCGCCAGGAAGTTGCCTGACAGTTTCAACGAAGCCAAGTTTATCACATTTAGTATGTTGATATTTTGCAGTGTTTGGTTATCTTTTGTCCCAACCTACCTGAGCACCAAGGGAAAATACATGGTGGCTGTGGAAATTTTTTCCATCTTATCATCCAGTTTTGGCTTGCTGGGTTGTATATTTTTCCCGAAATGCTACATTATTGTGCTGAGGCCTGAGCTGAACAATAGGGAGCAACTCCTCAGGAAAAAAACCTGAATACAATATAATTTTCTAGCAATACAAACTGTGTGTGCGACCTTTGTTTCTGAGCTAAATGCTGATGCCATTCTGATGAGACAACTGTGATGGTTTATAAACTCAATTTTAAATAAAAATAATAATTCCACCCAACTCTAATCTGAAATTCAGACAGCATTTTACTCTGGATGACTTTTGGGGAGACTGAAAATAGACCACCTCTTCTTTCCATACTTCTCCCATATAACCTTTTGCTATTTTAAACCACTGGGCTGTGCCCCAATGTCCTCATCCCTTCTCTCAAATTTTAAGAAGAGGAAGATTTTCATTCCCTGTTCTCCCCTGAACTTCTTTATCACCTCATCACATTTACTTGGCTTGCAAATGATTTCTGATGCTTAGCTAGCAGGGGAGCCAAGTGAAGAAGAACTGAGCAGGCTGTGGCACTAACACCATCTTGAAAGTTGCCCAAGGCCCACTAGTGGCTCTCAGCCCAGTATATGAGAAACACTGAAATAGAATGTGTAAGACATTTTCCAGAGAGGGGGGAAATATATAAGCTACTGCAAATTTGGCTATGTAAGGCCCACCCAGATGAAGTGGAATCTTTGCAAAGGTTAGGAGATCTGGCAGCCTGATTTGCTGTTCTATGCCTTCTTTAATCAAGCATTAGAACTGGCCATTCTGATGTTTTTAACATCCTTCTTTGGTACCCCTCCACCCAACCACACCTGTATGGAGCCCTCCTTTGGGCCTGCAGTTAAGAACATGGGCTATGTGGTTCCCTGGCCATAATCACCTTCACTGTGGTTTTTCTAGTCAGTTTCAACAAAGCCATGTTTATCACCTTCAGCATGTTGGTCTTTTGCAATGTTTGCTGTCTTTTGTTACTTGAGTGCCAAAGGAAGACACATGGTTGCTGTGGAGACCTTCCCTGTGTTTTCTTCCAGTGCTGGTTTTACTGGGTTGCATTGTTCCCCTAAACACCACATCACTGTGTTGAAACCTAAGCTGAACAGTAGGGAGCAGGTAATATGGAAAACTAAATTTTTTAAAAATGCAATCTTTTCTGAGTGCATACAGTATAAATTTAAATGGAGTATATAGAGTTTTAGGGGAGGGGTAGTACCTTTGGTATGGGGACACATCATTCTCCTTCTGGGATAGTTCGTCCATCTGTGGTGCCCACCCTGTACTCAGCTCTCATCTGTAGGTCCTAAACAACTAAATCAGGAGGCACTGCTAGGAAAGACATTACTAGCTTCTGGTGTCCATTTCCAGCAGAGATCTTGTGTATTTTTCATGATCCCTGATACAAAAGACCCTGCCAACTTTGCTATTCTTTACATCTCCTGTATATCATACAGCTTAATATTTTTGTCCTGAGCCTCTATGTAGTTCTCTCTAGAGGTTCATACTAATTATGTGTACGCTATCGGCCTGTCAAACTTCTAAGCAAACCCTCTCTCAAGAAAATTGATTGGAGGTGTTTTCCAGAGAAAGGGTTTGTATGGCAAATTCAAGCCCACTAGAAAGTGGGAGCAGCAATGTATAAATGTAGTTCACACAAACAGCTTTATTGAGGTCCGTAGACCCAAAATACACAGTACAACAATGGTATACATCAAGAGTTATTAAGATGTAACAGTGGCCTTCCTAGTCAACAGAGGAGCTCTAGCCCATATATACCGATTTCTGATTTTTACTGCCTCCAAGAGATATTTTGCTACAGCCAGTGTAAAAGCATCAGTCTTATCCTCAATGAGACCCTCAACATAAAAGGAGTCAGGTTGTTCTGCTAATATTGGTTTGATTAGATGCTGTCTAACCTATTTATACAGACTACAGTGTAATAAAATGTGTTTCATACATTCAACATCCTGGGAACACAGGCACAGCCTAGCTTGGTAAGGGATGCAAGCCAATAGCTTCCCACTGCAGTTAATTATTTTGTATAAGCATAAAATACCGTAATTATAATTGGGACTGACAGAATATTTATTTTTTTAAATCATGGAATAGCAAAGATGTTGAAGCAAAGGAAATGAACAACTTACATAAACTAAATAGGAAGTTATTATATGTGGTGTCCATTAACATTTACATATGGCTTCAGGAATGCTTAAGACATCATAGACAATCCAGTTAAATATGAATGGCTAGGAAGTTTAGAGATATAAAAAATCAAATAAATCTTGCCAGCATTGGCCTCTGCACATATGTCAGGAATGTTAAATCTGCAATCACGAAAAAGAAAAAAGGGGGGGAAAACAGGTGCAAAGCAATTCAATTTAGAAAGTCACAGCCTCTTCCATGTATCCGTTACTGCGGTAGAGATGCGATCTAATCCAATGGCACTAGAAACAAGAGAATATATCTAGATCTAGACTTAATAAGGAACATTTCACAATGAAGCATATTGAGGCCCAAAGAGGCTGACAATGGAGTGTCCAAGAGTTGTGTCCATTTTTATAAAGGTTAGAAGGCCTTCAACATAACAGCACAAGGTTTTTGTCTTGTTCTTGGAAAAATTAAAGGGAAAATACACAACCCATTGGTCACTTCATAACATTGTTAAGGTATGTGCAGATTCCCTGGGAGACCAGGGGTGGGAAGTAATGAAAGTCTAGAATAAATGAAGAGAATAAAGGGAAACTAAAGCCCAGAGACCTCAATTAGAACTGAGTGTGGTAACTGAGATCTGAATCAATAGATTTTTTTTTAAGGGGAAAGAAGGAAAACCAGGCAGTGAAGGGACAGAATTGCATATGTAGAATCTGAACCAAAGAATTCACATTGTCACATTTTGTGACACATTTTGTTACAGGGCCCCTGTTGTTGTTGCTCATTATTATCTCACACCACTTTTATTCTCACAATGAAGTAGTGTAGGCTGTACTGAGTCAGAGGAAGGCACTGAGAAACCTTCACTTTACCATGGACATTTGGTATGAGTAGGGCTTTCTGTGACACACGTCACAGAGTTTTCTGTCTCCCAAATATGAGTAGGACTTCCTGTGACATTTACTGGTGTAGTTCCATTTCCTGCAATCCCAGTAAAGAGAAGATATGATAAACATGTTTTCTTCTGACAGACCATAATGAATTCTCAAGTATGAGTATGTGATTATCTAGTCTATAATTATCACATGGCAATAATTAATTCTACTGCTTGTAAAAGCCACCAAGGAGTTACTATGATTTGGAACAACAGTAGTATCCAAATCTATGTGAACTCTAATAAATGCACTCGACAGAATTTCTCATGAAAACTGGGGAGAAACGTAGCCTTGCTTCTTTGATCTCTGATGTAATGTAAGGCTCCTAAGTGCCTGCAGAGAAATCTCCAAGTGCAACCCAAGATTTGTGTTGAAGATGGTTTTTATTAACAGTGTTCACACTGTTATTACTTCCTCACACAGTATGCAGTACTCATTTCACTAAGTGCACTATCAGTGATTCTCTTTCAGTACTTCATGAATATTACCAACTAGGTGACCTCATCATTGGCGGAATTGCATCACATACAGTTTATCTTTCAGAGATGGCTTCCTTCAAGAATCACCCTAACAAGGCGTTGATTAATCAGCCTGTGTGAGTTTTTCTCTCTCCTTATATTTCAGCTGCAATATTCATGGTAGTCCAATCTTCTGGAGTGGCTCAAATTATTTAAAAAGACATGAAATGAAATTGTTTTGGGCTGGTGGGGGGGCATCTAAAAATTATCCTTTGTGAGTTTTCCAGTTGAATTTTCTTTACATTCTTCCTCAGTTTCTGAGTTTTCTTTTTCACTTCATTGGTTGGTAGGTACCCGTAGGTGTGGCGAATATTCCCACTTCTGCACCCATTTTTTGCACCTGTTTTTGGTATTTTTAGAGATATTCAACAGATGTTTTTCATTACACTAATGCAATACAATTTAATATGTTAAAATGGAAATGAAAGTCAGTGTTCTCTTTTTGCAATGTCCTTCAGAGACAAGCCAGACCTGAATACCAGACTGGTACATCCTACCGCCCACCCCTTATCCTGAACAAATATTCTTTAGGTTTTAATAATAATAATAATAATAATAATAATAATAATAATAATAATTTATTTATACCCCACCCATTTGGCTGGGCTTCCCCAGCCACTCTAGTTTACTTTTATAAAACAAAAAACCACAAACCCTTAATTGGCATGACTTAATATAGTCAACTTCAAATATTATTTAAACAAGTTATGCTAAGTGCAAAAGTTATTTTTAGCACTGATACTTTTCGTGTGCTCAGCTGTGGATCAGACACGTTATTAACATACACCTTCTATCTAGATTTACTTTTTAAAAATAACAGCTGTATGAATTTCATGCCATTTTATTTGAGATTGATAAAAATTATACCCTGCTCATCTGACTGGGTTCCTCCAGCCACTCTGGGTGGCTTATAGCATATATCAAAACATAATAAAACATCAAAACATTAAAAACTTCCCAATACAGGGCTACCTTCAGATGTCTTCTAAAAGTCAAATAGTTGTTTCTTTCCTTGACATCTGAAGGGAGGCTGTTTCACAGGTAGAGCGCTACTACTGATAAGGCCCTCTGCCTGGTTCCCTTTAACTTTGCTCCTTGCAGTGAGGGAAACAGAAGAAGACCATTGGAGGAGGACCTCAGTGTCTAGGCTGAGAGATGGGGGTGGAGATGCTCCTTCAGGTATACTGAATTAAATATACTTTAATCAAAATTATTGCAGAAGTCGCTATGTAGGCATTTGGAACATATGAATAATCAAATCTTTTGTGCAGCTTATATTTTGTGGACTGTAGACTGGTTTTTATATAATAATTGAGGAAGTTTTTTGGGTGGGGGAAGTCCTCCAAAAGAAAAATGAGTATAATTTCCCATTCCTTTGAACATCTTCCTCTTTTTCATTTGGAAGTCCCATATCACCCTTCACTTTGTGCCCAATTCAACCTTCCTGAGTCAGGTAATTGCAATTTAATTACGGTTTCTCAGCTTTGAATCAATAATCAATAGTTTAGATGTGTAATGGTACATTTTTATAAGGTTTTTATGCTATTAATCACATTTATCTTTCCCCACCCCTGTAGTCCTCCTTTAAGTTCTACTAGGCAAAGGAAATGTATTTGCTCTGTGCCTACAAACCCGTCCTTGAATATTAAATTTTCTGTGTGGAGATACAAGTGGGACAAACTCTCCCCTTTAATGTGGCAGTTGTTGAAGAGGGAACTGAGGTGAAGAACTTACCTGTCAGACTCAATGTCTGCTGCATAGAAATCAGGCTTACATTTCTCCTGGGAGAAATTGTCATATTGGTAGTTAGTTAGAGGCATTGGACACCCAATGATGTTTGTAGGTGTCAGTTGATATTTTGCGACATTTGATAGATGAACTAGATTAGCATTTCATAGGCATGTACATCAGCTCTGTTTGCAGGCAATTAAGGGTGATTCAGTTGAGGTTTCCACATGACTACCATTAACAAGGCATCTTTGGTCAGATCTGGGACTCCCTACAGCCCCAAGTTGATTGCAATGGGAAATAAGTGCAACAACCACCCATCTCTATCTACTAAAATGTAATAAGAGTGTGCTTAACTGAGGATGGTTTAGTTAATGTTGTGTTTTATGGCAGGGCATCTTGGTGGTACATAGCACAGTGGCAATAATTCTTCAAAGAATATTCCCTTGATACCATATGAAATTCTCATTGTAGTGTACTGACTAAGAGCTATCAGCATGTCCTGGCCTTGGCATTCGCTGTAAATGAAATAAATGAAAATTCTCAGATCTTACCCAATGTCAGTTTAGGATTACGCATCCATGACACCAATTTCAATGTACAGCAGACCTTTCATGCCACAATGAAATTTCTTGCCTCACGAAAAGAAAATCTCCCCAACTACAAGTGTGATACCCAGGACTATCTGATAGGTGTCATTGGGGAACTTCACCCTACAACATCTTTCCACATGGCAACATTGTTACACATCTACAAAGTTCCACAGGTAAGAACTTTGAGAACTACTCAAAGGTAAGAACTACTGGCTTTGAGGCAGTGTGAAATGTATCTGATCCAAACCAGAGGATATAGGTAAATCAATGGAAACTGAACTCCTTTCTGTGGTGACAGCATCAAAATGTTCTCTCTCTTCTTCAGACAAAAAAAGAGGAAGAAAAGGGATGTGACTTTTTCATCCTATGATATCAAGCACACGGTGCTATAAAATAATTGTGAGATTGTGAAACCATTCCAAATGCCTCTTTTTAGTACAGTCTCTTTTTAGTATGTTGTAAAAGGTAGCAGTGTTAGTGAAATTTGTCTCAGCTATGCTAACATTTTTGAAAATTTAAGAAAACTTGAGAAAATGTGTTCTAAAAATTGTTGAGCTTCATCAAATTTTATCAGATGATGATTTTGGGAATATGCTTATTTGCTTCTGATTACCCAGTCCTGGTTTGTTTGTTTTTTTAAACGAACATGAAAAACTATGAAACATGACACAATTTAAAATTGGCCAACTATTTTTTCAGAAATGATACTGAAAACAATTGTGTTGTACATGGTCATTCCTATTGCATATTCAGTATTCATGAAGCCTTTTCAGCTTTTTCCTATCCTCACTATATTTAGATCACCTATGGGTCAGTTCCAGTGATACATGGTGAATTCCCAGGGCTTTCTTTCTACCAGATGGTCCCAAACGAAGACCATCAATATGAAGGGATTGCTGAGTTACTTCTGCATTTCAGGTGGACATGGATTGGGATCATTGCTGTGGATAATAACAATGGAGAAAGGTTTGTGCAGGCTATGCTTTCTCTGTTTCCTCATAAAGGCATTTGCCTTGCCTTCATGCAAAAAATCCTTCAAATTATGTATTTCGATGATTTTTTTAAGATTGGGGAGAAGATGTGGGAAATGTTTGACATTGTAATGGAAAGTAAAGCCAACACATTGATATTTTATGGAGAAATAGAAACTTTTACAACTATAATGTGGATGGAAAGACTGTCAGAAGTGGGATACACAACAGTAAAACCCAAGGGGAAGGTGTGGATCATGACTACACAGATGGATTTTGTCTCATTTTATTACCAAAGGAATTGGAATATGCAACTAATCCATGGTGCTTTATCCTTCACTGTTCACACAAATGAACTTCAAGGCTTCAAGCAATTTCTTCAGAGCAGAAGTCCTTTCTTTGCAAGTGAAGATGGTTTCATCACAGACTTCTGGGAACAAGCATTCCTTTGTCATTTCTCAGTGATGAAAAAGTTGTTTGATGAAAAGTGCACTGGGGAAGAGAGCTTGGAGAGTCTTCCTAGGTCAGTTTTTGAGACAAGCATGACTGGTCATAGCTACAGTATCTATAATGCTGTCTATGCTATGGCCCATGCTTTACATGCAATGACTTCATCCAGGTCCAAACACAGAGCAATGATTTATGAAGAAAAAGAGAAGCTTAAGAATTGGCTGCCATGGCAGGTAATGATTTCAGATCATTTATCTGGGATCTTTAGGTATATCAAGAGGGCCTAGTAGAAGCAGGAAGCGGGTCCCTCCACAGTATGTTCACTTGCCTATCCAGAAATGCTACAATACTTGGTGTGTGTGTGTGTGTGTGTGTGTGTGTGTGTGTGTGTGTATTTGGGTGGAATTCCTAGAACTTCTGGAATCAGTTTGTTCCAACTTATTACATTTCTGCATTTCTCTTCTTCTGCACCATTTCCCCCCACAACCTAGCTCCACCACTTTTTACAGAGTATTTCATTTAACAACAGTGCTGGAGACAAAATTTCCTTTGATCACAATGGGGCCCTGGAAGCTGGATTTGACATTGTCAACTGGATCACATTCCCAAATCAATCCTTCCTCAGAGTGAAAGTTGGAAAAGTGAATCTCCAGACTCCCGTAAAAGAATTCACTATTAATGAGTCTACTATTACATGGCACATTGGATTTAACCAGGTATGATGTGAGGGTTTGAACTTTAAGGGTTTGAATTTCATTAGGACTTTTCATGAGGAGAGGAGTTATCTCACTTCTGCTGGAGAATGAGATACTTTGTAGTGCACTTTTGTTCTCCCTCACATAAATGTTTGTACACAAGGAGTCTGAATGCTCAGATAGGGATAGACTTTACTACTATTTGAATGTGAGTACTACAATCCCCAGTGCTTTAATTGTAAAAAAGTGCCGGTAGTCTGTAACCATCTAACACAGCTATCCGGGCTGATCGCCATGAAGCTGTTACAGTAAGTGGCACACGCTTGGGCCGGAAGAAGGTGCTGGTACTGTGTGACCTGGAGTACCCCCAGAAAAAAGCACTGGCCATCCGTCCTTCAATACTATGAAGTCACGTTTTCCCACCCAAAGAGTGGTTGAGGGTGTTTCTGCTCAACATGGCCATATATATCCAGTTGATGTAAACAGGTGATCACATTTACAGGGATGCTACCATCTATCCACTGATTAGCTATTGATTGTTGTTGTTGCTGTTGTTGCTGTTATTGTTATTATTCCACCCCATACAGATGTTTATATAAAGGATTTACTGCTACAGATGGCTGTTTTATTATTTAATTTAACGATCTGAGCATCTGGTGATTCATTTTCATGGCTTTTTAATTTAGTGTGTGCAGGGATGCAATATATCTTAGGTAGTTCAGGTAAGCACACAAAGGCAGCTTTGAATGGGGTGGTGACTGACTATCTGCCCATTGACTGTCTAATATAAGAGAGGGAATGTTGTTTATAAGTATTTTAGTAACGAGAAGTCAAGAAGAGATTGTGAAAGTAACTTTCTCTCATATATATATATATATATATATATATATATATATATATATATATGCAGGTTTTGGTGTCCTCGGGTGTCTTCCCGTGTAAAAGTTGGGGTGTCTAGGCGACGTTTATATAATATTTCAAAGAGGTTACACATGAAACAGCATGTATATGGTGGGGGGGGGGGAATGTGATGGCCAAAATGGTCATGCATATTTTCATTTAATATAAATATAATCCTTATATGGTGCTATACCACGGTGTCTGTATCCTTTGCACATTGATAAATCAATCCAAGAGAAAGTTGGAGAGAACATATGCAAACTAAATGCTTATTGCATCAACATGTGCCTCAGTTCTCATTGTGACTATACCATAACAGCTACATCAATTTTGTTGTTGTTATGGGGGGGGGGGAAACGGATGGAAAGAACACTGAATCAAACTGTTCTTGCTTCAATCTCAGAATTATTTTTGGTAATTATCCTCTGAACACAGGTCAGATTGAACCTGGAAAAGATAAATGAATTTAGCTCAAGATTTCTCTCATCCCCTTCTTTGAAAACATTTTGGGCCAAGGTCCAACATGTGTATGAAACTAGTGATAGATTTTTTTCATATTGCCTACAATCCTTAATAAAGTATCAGATACCAAAGGTTTTCAAAAATCGCAATGCCTACTGTTGAACTAAACATTTACTAAGAAACTACAACTTCCTGCAGATTATATTCTAAATGGTAACATTGTTTTATTTCCTTTTGGGTCAGACACTGCCTATTTCTGTGTGTACAGACAGTTGCCATCCTGGTTATCACAAAAAAAGGAAGGAAGGAGCGCCATTTTGCTGCCATGATTGCATCCCGTGTCCTGAAGGGAAGATTTCCAACCAGAAAGGTAAGGAGTATATGGGCCTCATATGTTGGTTGGTTGGTTTGTTGGTTGGTTGCTTGTTTGTTGGATTTTATGAATTGCTTCTCATAAAATATTACAACCTTAAAAATATCAATAGTAAAACCAATTAAGAACAATCCCACATATAAAAATAAATTATAGAATTTTCATTGTAAAAGCAATTTCAGGGTAATACAGTGGTGCCTCGCAAGACGAAATTAATCCGTTCCGCGAGTCTCTTCGTCTTGCGGTTTTTTCGTCTTGCGAAGCACGGCTATTAGCGGCTTAGTGGCTTAGCAGCTATTAACAGCTTCGCGGCTTAGCGTCTATTAGTGGCTTAGCGGCTTTAAGAAAAAGGAAACAAACTCGCAAGAACTCGCAAGACGTTTCGTCTTGCGAAGCAAGCTCATAGGGAAATTCGTCTTGCAGAACGATTCAAAAAACGGAAAACTCTTTCGTCTAGCGAGTTTTTCGTCTGCGAGGCATTCGTCTTGCGGGGCACCACTGTATCTTATGTCCAGCAATATACAAAATTTGAAGGCCTGTAGGCATTGATAGGAAAGTCGCTGACAAGAGATGACAAGAGATGAATAAGCCTGGTTTCATATACAGTCTTATCTTGAATCCTGAATGCCTGGCGAGTCAAACGTTTTGGCCCCTGAATGCCGCAAACCCGGAAGTGAGTGTTCCAGTTTGTGAACAATCTTTGGAACCCGAATGTTTCATGGGTCTCAGGAGCTGCACTTTGGTTTCCGAAAGTTTTGGGTGTCGAATGGATTTCCAGAACATATTTCATTCGACTTCTGAAGTACCACTGTATTCAGAATGCCCCCTATTCTGATTTGGCATCTTTTCCAGTCAGATATGGAAGATCTAAGTGAGTACTGATGGGCTCAGCCATGCTTACAAGGGGCAGCTTGGGACTTTGTGGAAAGCATGGCCTCCATGGGGCTGTCCCTGAATAAGTCTGACCCAACTCATAGCCGCGGACATGCCTTAGACCTGGTATTCACCTCTATGGATGTTTGTGAACTGACACTAAGTAAAAGTGAAACTGAAGAAGTGCCATGGTCAGATCACTACCTGATGCAACTGGACTTCTCTGTGACCCTTCCCCTCTGCATGGAGGTGGGACCGATTTGGATGGTCCTCCCCCACCACATAATGAAGCCAAATGATTTCCAGAGTAGGGGGTGTTTTATTCCATGTTGATGGCCTTTCAACAGATTCCCTGGTGGCCCGCTGGAATGTGGAGTTAACCAGGGCTATTGACTTTCTGGCTCCGAAGCACCCTCTCCGATTGCATGGAGCCTGGACAGCCCTGTAGTTTTCCACGGATCTGAGGGCAATTAAACAATCGCTGAGATGGCTAGAGTGCCTGTGGCAGATAACTCATTCTGAATCAGACCGGACACAGCTTAGAGCTCATTGTCGAGCCTACCAAGTGGCGATAGCGACGGCGAAGAAGACCTTCTTCTCTGCCTCTATTGCATCTGTGGAAAACAGCAGCAGGAGACTCTTTCAGATGGTTCGCAATTTAGAGGAACCACCTGCGACATTGGGGCCCAGTACAAGCCACATGATTTCCTGCAATGATTTTGCAAAGTTTTTTGCAGATAAAGTCGCTCAGATTCGGGAAGAGGTAGACTCTACCATGGGAGCAGGGCCGGGGCGAGAGAGTGCTAGAGCCCTGTCTAGTCAAGTTGCATGGGATCAATTCCAATCTGTTACCCCCGAGGATGTGGACAGGCTGCTTGGATGAGTGAAACCAACCACTTGTCTCCTTGATCCTTGCCCATCCTGGCTTATAAAAGCTTGCTGGGAAGGGCTGGGTGATGGGCTTTGTGGGTTAGTGAATGCTTCTCTCTGTGAGGGAGCCTTCCCAGACCCACTGAAAGAGGTGGTTGTCAAACTGCTTCTTAAAAAAACATCTCCCAGTCTCAAATCTTCCATTCTTGGGCAAGGTGATTGAGCGAGTGGTTGCTGAACAACTCCAGGCATGCCTGGAAGAAACGGGCCATTTGGATCCCTTCCAGTTGGATTCAGGCCTCATCATGGGTCTGAAACTGACTTGGTCTCACTGGTTGATGATCTCCGGCGGGCTAGGGACAAAAGTGAGAGCTGTTTTCTAGTTCTGCTGGATCTCTCAGTGGCGCTTGATACCATCAACCATAACATCCTTCTGGACCATCTAGAGGGGCTGGGAGCTGGGGGCACTGTTATACAGTGGTTCCGCTCCGTCCTCCTGGGCCGTGTTCAGAAAGTGGTGGTGGGAGGATGAGTGTTCAGATCCCTGGGCTCTCACTTATGGGGTGCCTCAGGGTTCTGTCCTCTCCCCCATGCTTTTCAACATCTCCATGCAGCCACTGGGAGAGATCATCAGGGGTTTGGGCTGGGTGTCCATCAATATGCGGATGATACCCAGCTCTACCTCTCTTTCAAATCAGAACCAGTGAAGGCGGTGAAGGTCCTGTGTGAGTGTATGGAGGCAGGTGGAGGATGGATGGTGGCTAACAGATTGAGGTTGAATCCTGACAAGACAGAAGTACTGTTTTGGGGGGACAGGAGGCGGGCAGGTGTGGATAACTCCCTGGTCCTGAATGAGGTAACTGTGCCCCTGAAGGAACAGGTTCACAGCCTGGGAGTCATTCTGGACTCACAGCTGTCCATGGAGGTGCAGGTCAATTCTGTGTCCAGGACAGCTGTTTACCAGCTCCATCTGGTACGCAGGCTGAGACCCTACCTGCCCACGGACTACCTCACCAGAGTGGTGCATGCTCTGGTTATCTCTCGCTTGGACTACTGCAATGCACTCTATGTGGGGCTACCTTTGAAGGTAACCTGGAAACTACAACTAATCCAGAATGTGGCAGCTAGACTGGTGTCTGGGAGCAGCCACCGAAACCACATAACCCCAATCTTGAAAGACCTACATTGGTTCCCAGTACATTTCCGAGCACAATTCAAAGTGTTGATGCTGACCTTTAAAACCCTAAACGGCCTCGGTCCAGTAGATCTGAAGGAGTGTCTCCACCTCCATCCTTCTACCCGGACACTGAGGTTCTGGCGGTTCCCTCACTGTGAGAAGCCAAGTTACAGGGGACCAGGCAGAGGGCCTTCTAGGTAGTGGCACCCGCCCTGTGGAACACCCTCCCAGCAGATGTCAAAGAGAACAACAACAACCAGACATTTAGAAGACATCTGAAGGCAGCCCTGTTTAGGGAAGCTTTTAATGTTTGGTGCATTACTGTATTTTAATATTTTGTTGGAAGCCGTCCAGAGTGGCTGGGGA